AAGAACGATCAAATAGATGACTTGAAAGATGAAAACCACACCTTGAAGATGAAAATTGCCCCGGTTGAAAGACAAAACAAAATATCTATGTAGAAAAAGAGGGAACAGAAATCAAGATCTTTCAAATACATGCGAAACCGGGTTTCCCACATGAATGGAGAGGTCAATATCATCATGGAAGACAACAAGGACAGAGGGGGGCACTACAACAGAAATAGACATCATTAAAACTGTGTTGTTTACAATAAGACAGTGATTAGGATATATATTATTAGTGAATTGGTACTTACGCTTTTCAGCAAAATCGGTGCTTTATATTCAAGTATAATATTTCTGTAACTGAATATCTTACGTAAACAGTATTCTAATTTAATGATATTTATTTTTGTTATATTGTAATTATACTTCATTTCACAGGAGTGAAATAGTCTTAAAGGAGGGAGAAGTGTTGTGCACACGAAAAATGATAAAATTCATTTTAAAAAAAAGGAATAAATATGCATGATGATTTTTTTTTTAAAACAAATGTTTTTATATATAATCATTTTTCTAAAAGGTCATATTTTTCAAAACAAAATTTGTGAAATTTTCAAATATGTTAAGTTACAAGTTTGTATATGTTTCAATAACAGATGGTCAAATTTTAAAATTATGTAACTGGAAGATTAAAAAATGCGGCTTTTTCTCTTTGTCCATTCATCTGTGCTAAAAGTTTTTATAATATATAGGTGATAAGGTCAATTAAGCTGTCTGTACTTATCTGTTGTTAAACCTTATGACTGATAAAATATCCAGGTGATGATTGTTGTTATAAAATTCTATGTTGCTATGTTACAGTTATTTTGGTATTGAAACCTGATTGGTCATTTTGTTATTTAAGAAACATAGATGTTTAAATTTGTATTGGGGTCAGTTTAAAACGAAACCATTTTTTAGAAATATTGTAAATATAGAAAATTTGCACAGTTTAGATTTTGGATTTCCAAGTGATAACATTGTATTGTGGCTTTCCACTAGAAAAAATTGTTACTGTTTTTAATATTAATTTGTTAACATCAGGATAACCTATGTATATGTTATATGTTATCTGTGGTATTTCACTAAGAAAGAAACATTAAAATATAAAACGGAACATTGTGTTGTGATACAATCCACATTCAGTAGAACCTATAATTTAGCGCATAACAGTAACGTCAAGTCATGTTGTTTTAAACTACTCTGTGATTCGTTCGTTCATTTACGCTTCAAACCGAAATTTTTTGAATTTATACAGAAATTCATGCTGGTACTTTCAAAAATGTCATTTTAGCGTGATTTAAGTTAATAAGATCATTTTAATATTTTTGTTATTAATTTGCCTGAGTATCTTTTTAATAGGTTTAGCGGTTTGTCTATATAGTGTTACGGGGTTTGGTATTGTTAAAAACATTTTACAAAAATATACATGTACATATATTTTCGTTTTCATTTTTAGCTCGACTATACGAAGTATATGGAGAGCTGTCCTACTCGCCCCGGCGTCGGCGTCGGCGTCGGCGTCCGCGTCCGCGTCCAGATTTTAGATTAAAGTTTTGGTGCAGTAAAATATTTTTCACTATAACTTTGTCATTTCTTAAGGTATCAACTTCAAACTTCAAATATATGTTCCTTATCATCAACCACATCTCATGTGACAAGGTTCATAACTCTAGCACCCAATATTTTCAGATTTATCTCCCCTTGAACTTAAGAATTTTCCTTAAAAAATACTAATTTTTTAACTGATACTTTCTTTATTTCTTAAGGGATCAACCTCATACTTCAAAAATATATGTACCTTATCAATCATCCCCATCTTATGTGACAAGGATCATAACTCTAGCACCAATATTTTCAGATTTATCTCCCCTTGAACTTAGAATTTTCCCTCAAAAATACTATTTCTTTACTGTTTCTTCTTTATTTCTTAAGGGATCAACCTCATACTTCAAATATATTTATGTTATCACCATCCCCATCTTATGTGACAAGGTTCATAAACTCTAGCACCAATATTTTCAGATTTATCTCCCTTTGAACTTAGAAATTTTCCATAAAAAATATTATTTTTTACTGTAACTTATTTATTTCTTGAAGTGATCAACTTCATACTTCAATTATATTTACGTTATCATCAATCAAACATCTTATGTGACAAGGTTCATAACTCTAGCACCAATATTGCCAAGAATTATCTCCCATAAACTTTAGTTTATTTACCAGAAAAATGTTATTCTTTAATTTTAACTTTTTATTTTTAAAGGTATCTACCTCAAACTTCAAATACTTATTCCTTATCATCAAATACATTTTATGTGACAATGTTTATAACTCTTGAAGCAATAGTTTACAGCTTTATCTCTCTTTGAACTTAGGATTTTCTTTTAAGAAATATAATAAACTTCTTTAATTTTTAAGGTATCTACTTCAAACTTCAAATATATATTTCTTATCATTACACAAATGTTGTGTGGCAAGGTCCATAAACTCTAGCATGACTATTTCTAGAATTATTCCGCCTTGATCTTGGAATTTATGTTAACAAATGTTATTTTTTACAGTAACTTAATACATAATTATACATAATTGATTTTTCTTTCATAGTTTTGTCCTCCTTACTGCGTCCAGTATTTCATTAGTCGAGCTTCGCTGTCTCCTGTGACAGCTCTTGTTAATGATACTGTATACATGTATTTTTACAGAACATTTGTGTACGTTAGGATAGCTTTTTATATCACTGTGTCAATGTTGTCTGAATATTTCTTTATTGTAGTTAATTCAATAGAACTATATGAAAGAAAATTATCGTGTGTTCATGATTATTTACTTCCCCTTATCAAAATAATTTTATGTTATCATCAAAATAATTTTAGAACAAGAGCTGACTCTGAAAAGTGACTTATGCCCACGAAAGAATGCTTTGACATAAAATCCGAATTAAATGCCAAAATAACGGTAGTATACCCCCGACAGCCTTTGATAATTATCTTAATTATCTTAAAATTTAATTGAAATTCCATTAGAAATTTAGGAGAAATAGTCTAAACAAATTTTACTAAAAAAGTTTCATCATCAAGGGCCAATGACTGTGCCTGTGCGAAAAGATATTCATGCACAAAATCATGGCACAATGAAAACTAGACTTGGAAAAACATGGCACCATGCAAACAATTTTAAAAATGTTCACTGAAATTCCCCAAGTGGTTTTGGAGAGGGATGGACAAAGTTAATTCACTAAGATACTATGCACAACTAGGCTTTGTGACAAACAATCCTTTGAAGTTTCACTGAAATCTCCCAACAGTTTTGGTGATGAAGCGCTGACAAGCTCATTTTACTAAAACATAAGGAGCCATAACTGTGTCAAAAAAATCAAGCGGGAAATCGTGATACTATGCATAACTAGGCATGGTGACAAACAATCCTCTGGAGTTTCACTCAAATCCATCCAACGGTTTTTGGAAATGTATCGTGGACAAGTTTATTTTACTCAAAAAATGACCATTAAGGGGCCGAAACTGTGCCAGAACAATAAAGCGGAAAATCAAAACACTATGCACAACTAGGAATGGTGACAAAATCCTGTGAAGTTTCACTGAAATCCCGAAATGAAGCGCGGACAAGCTTATTTTACTTAAAATTGACCATTAAGGGGCCATATAACGGTGCCTAAAATATTCAAGCGGAAAATCAAGAGAGAATGCACAACTAGCCTTGGTGACAAACAATCCTATGAGGTTTCACTGAAATCCCTCATCTGTTTTGATCATGATGCGGGGACAAAATTTTCTGAGGACGCACGGACGGAAGGACGAACGGACTGACAGACAGTGCGATTATTACATGCCGCCTTTGGGGACATTAGAATAATCAAGGGAGAATTAGTCTCGTTCAAATATTAGGAATTTGTTTACATATGTGCAGACAAATTGTCATTATTCCATGTCCAGACATTCGTATACTGCAGAAGTATTATTACTTGGTTGGACATGTTTTAACAAATAAAGCTTAGTTTAGGATTTTTAGGATTCGACCTACTTTAAAAATGTTTGTACTTTGTAATTATATGCATATACAGATTGTTGTCAGGTCAAGCCAAGTCTATTGACCTCTCAGGCACAATAGTAAAATGCCATTGGAAGGTGTGAGTATTTTGTCACTGCAGATCTTAGAAATACATGTATATAATTTGCTAGCTACATGAGCTACAAGCCATAATGATCAAAGTCTGTTTCATTGATGTATGTTAATGTGATAGAAATGTGGTCAACGAAATAAAAATCTAATATTATCAATGACCTAATCTAATATTATCTATGTTTTATAAATACTTAACACATGTGTCCTTTAAAGTGTTTTACAACAGTAATATGCAATAATAAATGAAGTGAGAATAAACTGTTAAATATACAACTGAATTAGTTATTTTGTTAGAAGTTACATCCCTACTAAACGCTGTCTTTTCACATTTTAGTGATCTGTTATAATGTGAGCCACCGACACTTCCGTGAAAGAGCCATCGGCCAAAGCAAACTTGTAAACGGTAGAAGTTTCTAAAGATATAAAAGAATAAGTTTGTTTTTCAAAAAACATCATTTTATATGCAATTTCAAAATGACGTTGCTAGAACATGAACCAAATATTACCGACCGAATCGTGGATGTTACACTGTGGCACTACACTCATCCCCTTTGGCCCAACACACACAAAAAATAGTTCATGTCTAGGTTTAACTAGTATATTAAGTAATCTACAGTCATTGCAGCCAATATTTGATTTATGTCACATTCTACAGAAGAATATAAAACATTTTCATCATATGGTATTTGTTACAAACTTAAACATATGACATACACACGGTCTTTTAGATATTTCACAAACGTTCAAATTTCAAAATAATAATAGGTATTATAATTTCATCATATCAAATCACGGCGACCGAAACGTGACATGTAGAATATTTGTCGTGGAAAACATTTTGAAAGGGAGTTGGCTGTAGTATTTTTCGATCCCAAGCGAAACAACTCGTACAAACACATCATTTAAAAAGATATAAGAATACCCATATCATTAACCACAAGAAATGAATCATATATCTTCCGCCCTTGACAGGATGTGAAATGATAGCGGACTTCAGTCTGACAAGAACGCTGGTAATAACTACACGTGCTGCACAACAGAAACAATATGTATAATAAAAAATTATTTATTCCGTGTCTGTGGATTTTGTTAATAGGTGAACAGTTTGAATATGTTATTATTGAATATGTTATTATTGGATATGTTATTATTGAGCTTATATAACAACGTGTATATCCGTAACGCAACACCACACTGGTCATAGCCATAGTATCAACCACAGCGGCGGTGAAGTATTCGTCGCAGAAGCGATGGATAAAAAATGGCCGTTTGCTGTTGTCGGTAAGTTTATAACAGAATTCTGCTTTATGTTTTAATGTTTTATGGAAAACACCTAATGAGACTGAACCCCATATATGTACTCTATCAACTTATTAAACGCACACGATGTAATTCATTGCCATTTATGCAAACACTTCTGTACAATTTGACGAGAGGACGCCATTTCTGCCGAATTTGGATAAAACACATACAAATGGTGTAAGACGACCCCATAATATAACGGCATCACATCGTATGGATGACACTTAGACAAGGCAACCATATTTTGGAACTTTTGGAAATTGTTATTGACAAAAAAAATGATTACAACGCAGACGGATGTGGATTTAATTGCAATGCAATGCGGTGGGCCCGATACCATTAATGTCTATTTTGAGGGTTTAACTTGACATAACGCACTTTTCAATTGAGTAAAAACATTTCCTAACTTTGACATCAATGAGACGGGTTTATTTCGTGTTTAAATACAAATAGATGTCCGAGTTCGCTTCCATTTTCCTTCCATTGAAAATTCCTTTGATTTGTATTATCATAGAATTCTCGTAAAGATTAACATTGAATACGAAGAACAATCTCAGTTTTGAATGTCACTGTGTTAAACTGAGAACACCAATTTATATAAATTTTATCTTTACAGCGGAAGTGTAATTTGAGGGAAGTTTTCTATCTATTACTTTTTGTTAACACCTGCCCGTGATATAGCTTTTTCTTTCTTTTTATTAAATTGTGACATTTATCGAAGAAAAAAATGGTTTTAAAATGGCAATTTTCTTTTATAGAATTTAAAGTACCTCTTATGATTTTTTTAAAAAAGGTATCAGAAATATTTTATGGAATAAAATGTTTTTTTAGAAAATGTGCAAAAAATAAACTGAAGGATAAACGATTTTTCAGACGTATGTAAATGTTATCTGCCCCTGAAATAACCCCAAATAAATATAAAAAAAAATTAAATTCACGTGCAGAAATTCTAATATCATACCAAGTTTAAAGAATATATATGAGCCCTGGCATGACATTCCCAACATAGTGGTCAAATGACGTAATCGTAGAAACGCGTTGTCAAAGTTCACGTCAATATTTCTTAATGATATGACGCACACTTTTTCAATCAGCGCTGTGCAGTTTTTAAACAGTGCGCGCATTCGTTGTTTTTGTTAAACCTACGTCTCATATTATATTCTTTTATACAAAGATCTACACGGCTGTCTTATTGAGACAATATAAAGTTTACGTAAACTACATCAATCCCGTCACAATCACTCTGACACTGTGCGCCATATGTTAAATAATAGCATTATCATTTTAACTATTCTAAAGCTATGCTATTTAAACATAAAAAATAAAATGTTTATAAATTAATCTACAGACATCAAGGGTCATACAAGTGTATAGACTTTTTGGTAAACATCTATCAAAATGCAGCCTGGTAACTTTGAACTCCTGACAAAACACTCGCTCAATTGTACTTTAGGTACCATAAGAAAGGGAATTTCAAGGAAAATTTTAAGCTGATAAAAATAATTTCATCTATTCAAACGACACTTGACATATTGTTCTTGAAACAGGAAACACTTTCAGGGCTAACTTACTTAAAACAATTAAACAATAATCACAATTATTCTTTTGGTTGTTATTTTAATTTCCAGTGTCAAGATGTTTTCCAAGTATTTCTCTGAACAATAGAAACATGTCGCGGCTGATTTAAATAAATTGGAATGAACACTTTTATGTCAATAGAATAAGGAAATTATCATGATTGTTTAATATAACAAACACTCCAAATAAAGTATTATTTAATTGAGAAACAATTGTTCTCTGTGAGTCAGACGCTTGAAGTTATTTAGATATCATCCTGCTTTATCCTGTTTTTTACTAGATGTTAAACTCGTTTGTTGAAATACCAGTTTCGGTTACAGGTAGCTCTGAGTATATGACGTCTTAAGTTGTTGAAAGAAGCGGGGAAATGGATGATAATAAAAATGGATTGATTCTGTCTAAATGAGCTACTCTCAGTAAAAGTAAAATTATTGAATATCTCTGTGTTTATAATATTGCACGTTTGTTACGCCGCTTTTCATTGGATAATCGGGACGTTTATATGGTTTTATATAAACGACTGCTGTCAATATATGAAGAAATGTCACTTTGTTCTCTAAAAAAATGCTTACTGTATTATAAATTCATATAAATTTTTCTAGCAGGTTATATGACCGTATATAAACGTTGTTTGCAATATAACCGTTTATAATAAGTTATTTAACCTGTCAAAAATCTTTTTAATTAAATATATAAATAAATTTGTTATTATGCTTGTACGTGTATGTGAAATCAGAATCTTTATAACGAATAATATAAACGTCAAGATTATCCAATGAAAAGCGACGTGTTTTATAAGAGATTAAATTTATATACTAGCATATAACATGTCAAAAATCTTTATAACTAATAATATTGTTGCGTCCCGTGTAGACGCTCTTAATAACTGTCGTTTATGTGAGGCCGCTTTGCTATGTAATATGTTTTGGTACTTTGTATTAATAAATGTCTGATGTATAATAACTTAGACTCGAAACCTTGTTATTTCTCTTATGCAATAAGTATGAGAATTTACACCACAGGCACAGATATATGATATATCATAGGCATTATTTATAAAGGTCTACTTATGCTCGCCACTCAAACACATGCAGACAGAAAACGACCAAAGACAAATGCTTATCAATAAATCACATACATTGTATATATAAATTGGTTTATGCAATTCCCTGCGCATCGGTAAATTTCCTTTCGGTGGTGCATCAAGGTCAGATGTCTTGACTCCTAGTTTCCGCCAGGATTGTTTCTCCATCAGTCCGGGTTGTTGATCTTTAAAGGAAATATAAAGATAAAGGGCACTTTATATGTTCTTACTTAACTGCACATTTTAACATGAATGGTGCATTTTTCAACAAGAATCAAATCAAAAGCGATATCTGTTCACATACAAAAATACTTCAGTAATAAAACTAAATCTTTCGATTGAAAGGTGCGTTATATGTCAAGTTTACCGCTTAAAATTGAAATAATGGTATCGGGTCCCCGCACTGCTTTGCAACCGAATCCACGGCCGTCTGCGTTGTAATCATTTTTTGTTTTACAATTTCAAAATATTCAAAAATATGGTTGTTTTGTGTAAGTATTAAGTTGTTTTGTGTAAGTATTATTCATACGATGCTATGCCGTTGTATTTAGGGGTCGTTTTGCACACATTTGTATGTGTTTTAACCACTATTCGGCAAAAGTGGCGTCCCCTCGTCAAACTGTACAGAAGTGTTTCCATAAATGGCAATTAATTGCATGGTGTGCGTATGATAAGTTGGAAGAGTACATATGTTGGCTCCAGTCTCACTATGTGTTTCCCGTAAAGCGTTAAAACTTAAAGAAAATTCAGTCATAAACTTACCGACAAAAGCAAACGCCCAATTTTTATCCATCGCTTCTGCGATGAATACTCAACCGCCGCTGCGATGGACCCACCGTTTCTGTGAAATCTATGGCCAGTGTGAACACGGCAACTATATGGACCATAATTATTTTTAATTATCATTGAAAGAACTGGTCTACTGTATATGACTATTTTGACATAATGTTTCAAATCGCATTCACAAATATTTCAGGAAATTTGGTTTTCAATATCACACGTTAGAGGGTACGTCCACTTTGTCGAGATTCTATTGCTACATTATTGTTATATAATATAATGTTCTATGTAATAGAAAGAGCATCGAAACACGAGGCTATCTGATTTGTAATATATCCAAAAACAGTGATTTTATCGCTAAATAAAAATCACTGTTTGGAGGTCGGATGCTAGGGATTATATCACTTTCGGTCCTTCTATGTTCAATAGGAAAAATGCGGGTCGTGTTAGAATGTAGAATAAGGGACGGTTCGAGTTCAGATGCGTTGGAATATCACGGTGATTAATTACAAAGCACTTGAACGATAAACCGTGCATTGTTATACTATAATACAAGAAAAATTTATATCTATTTGCATTCTAATATAGATCTATGCTAGTATAAAAATAGGCTTAACTACATCGAGCGTAGAAGTAATTTTCCTGACATAATTTTGTTAATTGACGTAATTTATGACGTTATTTGAGTTTTTTATTTCCTGTGCATATATCTTGTAAAGCACTTGACTGGCCTATCTGTTGGATAGGGAAATAGTGCGAATCATGTTAAAATGTTTCATATATCATGTTTATTATGGCATTTTTCATACAATTATTATATATAAAATATTTAACCTTCACACAGCGGCAGTAGAACTATCATTAACGACAACAATAATACCGTCTAAGACACTATCGGTAACACAGTCATTGACAGATTCACCAGTAACACCGGCAACGACAACATCGGTAAAACAGTCATTGGCATCATCAATGTCAGTAACAAGAACAACACCGGCAAATACAACATCGGTAAAACAGACATTGACACCATCAATGTCAGTAACAACAACAACATCGGCAAATACAACATCGATGACACGGACATTGGCACCATCAACAGTAACAACAACAACAGCGGTAACGACAGCCTTGGTAACACAGACATTGGCATCATCAACAGTAATAACAACAAGACCGGCAACGACAACATCGGTAACACAGACATTGGCACCATCAACAGTAACAACTATGTTGCCAACTTCAACATTAAGTACAAATGAAACGAAATCTGCCGGGAATCCAGGAAATTCCGCATCAATTATATATGCAGGTTTGCTTCTTATAAAATATTCAGATTATTTGTAGGCTTAATCAACTAATATGATAGCCATGATGTTATATTAATTAAAAATAATTGTCATTTCGTGAAAACTATCCATGTTTCTTGTGCAATCCAATTACATTGTGCTATATGCAGAAATTGCAACGAGTTAACATGCCATAACATCATTAATAGTGCCCATGTTAATTTATTGTTTCATATTTCATTGATTACGTAGTTGACGACGTACAGCTTACACGTGAGCTGTGAGCTGTATAAGTTGACTGTAACACTGTATTAAATAATTATTATCACAGATCAGATCCTTAACTCAAATGTCAAGTTCACACTTGTATATTGTAAGGATCTGACATTCTAGCATTATTCTGAAATGTACTTACAACAGAACTTTTAATGAAATCCAAGTGACATTGTGAAATCCTATAGCTCCATAATTTGTTGACTTCTACAATAACAAGATTCACTTACCTGATTGATCTGAAGGAACACTGTATTAACACTTATTGACTTTGCAATTTAAGCTGATAAAATTGTTAAACTTACCTTATATATATAGCAGATAACTGATTTTCTCTTTACATTTTTGTGTAGCAGACGTCGAATGCCAGACATCTTTGAAATCTGTCACTTCATATTTTATATTGAAGATTTCTTATTGTTAATATCAATTTCAGTCAAATTCAATTCAAGAACCTAATTTATGTAAAGTTTATGATTGATTAAGGTCAGAAATCCTTAAATATTCACTACATGTTTCTGTATATTAATGATTTTCGTATGTAGATTTTATATGAGATTTCAATATGGCCGCCATTGAAATCCAAGATTTCAGATTCAGAAATCCGGCCGTCTGTCCATTGGAGGATTTCCGGATTTCTGTTGTTTCATTGGTGGATTTCAAACATCGAACCTTATAAAAGTCGGAATCCAACCAATGTTGTCACTTCGGTCTTGACCTCCAAGTAATGCAAATAAAGTTTTAAAACCGCCAAAGTTCAAATACAGTAAACATCTTACAAACGACATTGTTATCCAAACTTGTAAGTTGGTATGTATTTATATCCAGTATTATTGACTCACTAGACACTGTTGTTGCCGAAATACTTGTTATAAACTTAGAAAACTTTAAAAGAATTGTATTTATTTTCCCCATCCTGACATACGTTTACAATATCCAAAGTCATGATATGAAATTTTATAATAAAAAAGTGTCCGGTCCGCAACTCTGCCAATCCTGTATGGATTACTATGCATAAGATTTTGAACATTAGTATGACGTGCCAAGCTCAAGAATCAGGTCCTACACTTTTAGATTCAATGATATGTTTTTTTTGTAAGTGCACTTATTGACTTGTTCGGTCAAAATTCAGTCATTCCTGGACGGATTTGAATTTGTTTATGCATAAATGTGTTGGATATGATGATGGCAACGTGTTGCACGCCTAGCTCAAAGGTCTAGGTCACACTTGTATTCCAAAGTCATGATATTTTCAAAAAAATATACTGATGTTATTCATTCATGAATGGTGTTTAAAATGTCAAATCCATATCAGATCACATGCATTTCATTAAACATACGCAATCATTTTTGTTTTCTGCGGTGTCCTTTTAGGAACATTATTTCGTAATAAAGATATCTTTATCATAAGTCAAGTCTGTTATCTGCCATATTATTGATACCTATGTTTCTTTGACACGTATATGTTTTTCGATTAAATTAAATTCATTCTATAAGACGAATCATGTGATTTTTAGTGATTTTATGTTTCATTCCGTGATACAAATAAATAAACTAATGAAACATGCATGTAAATTTAGCTATTCTAGTAAATTTAAAACTTCAAACATCCTCTCAGTTTTTACATAAACCGTCTGTCAACGGCTTTTGCTATATGAGCAGCTTGTATTCAACGCGTAACTTAGGGGGAATTAGGTCAAAATTTTAAGAAAAAAGCTATTGAAATCATGTTTCTAATAACATAAAAACCACTTATTGTATAATTTACGAGTCAATTGTTGCTTACTAAAATAAAGAAATAATCGTTATCAAGTTAGAGAGTGGTGGTGGTGTTGGTAGTTTTTCACTCCAGATCACAGCATTAAGCCACATTGGATTTACCAGAGCTCAGTTCAGCCAACGCATCGTTCCTGTGCAGGCTGTCAAGCAATTTACCAGTACTAGTTGGCCTCACTTTTGAAAGGAACTGATAACTTCTGTACATGCAAGAGCAGAGGTACAGTGCGAATGACCGTAGAAAGGATTCCATGACCAATCACAACGAAAGTGACCTGCGCCGTCCGGGAATCGAACCTGGGTCGCCGTATTCATAATCCAACACTCTAGCTATTGAGCTAACAGAACGGCTCAAGTTAGAGACTAAGGCATTTCGAGTAAAATAAAACAAAGTAAAACATCGTATTAAACCTATCGATGACAGCGAAAAGGTTAACTTAAAGTCATATTTATCCACCGCTTCTGCAACGAATGTTCATCGCCACTGAACCCACCTTTTCTGAGAAAGCTATCGGTTTTATGAAGACCTTAAAAGACAATGTCGCTGTGCTTGCGTGACAAAATATCAGCAAGTTATTGGTGTACGTATATCAAACTTCATGGAACTGGTTGTTTCGCTACACCTTCGGCTTCGCTCGCAATGAATTCCATAAAATTTGATATATGACCAATAACTTACAAATATTTGCCGTTCAGCTTAGATTACCTCATACATGAATAAATGTTTGCAGTATTGCTAAAATTTTACGTCGTGTGTATTAGTTAAATTTAACGCAAACATGTTGTAATTTTAGAGGTCAAATTTCCACGGACAAATAGTTTGTTTGATTTTTGTTTTGTTTGCTTTAAGATGTTCTGTTACTTTACATATGAATTGCATGATGAAATATTGAACGATTTACGGTATGGTTTTAGGAAAGTTATAAGTAATATTGATTGCATTTTTACTTTATCAATAAGATAATAAAACATGAAGTCATGTATCATTTATTGATTCCAGGATCTGTTTTGATATGTAATATAGAAATGGAATCTGTCTTAAATTAATTGAACCAGATGTATCATATAAAGCTATAATAATGTTACGAAGTAGATGATTATAATTGTGTGAAATCTTTGTAAGAGCAAATGATTGCCTGTCAGATAATTTTGAGAGTTATTTGGGCTTAAACAAGGGGAACTTCTTTCATCTCTGTTATTTATTTTCTTCGGAAATGATATGCGCTAACATTTACAAGTAGATAATGTTGATACATTTTCATTAGATGATTTACAAATATATTTTTTGCCATTCTTTGCAGATGATACAGTTTTATTTTCTTGTTCTAAGGGAGGATTGCAATACCTCTTTAATAAACTGCATACATAATGTAAGAAGTGGGGTATTGTGAAAACGCTATGTTTTTTTAAACCTGGTAATAGACGTCATGAAAATGTAGAAGTTTTTTACAACAATGTTTTGACGACAGGTTTTGTTATTTCAGGTATGTCTTTCCTTCAGTGCATGACTTCATACTACGTTGCTATGGCAATCAATCAATGGAATACAAGACAATAGAAACCCTAATACAGTGAAATATGGCAGCTACAAATGTGTTCAACATTCAATTACAGCATTGATTATTTTCTAATATAAAAATCACGGTAATTTTTTGGAATCTGCGTGGCGTGGGAAACTAAAGCTAAACAAAGTCCGGATAATATTTTCTTTTACAACTGGATAAAGTGTAGTAGAGAAAGACCCATACAAAAATGGAGAGAAAAAAAGATAATAGTTTTCGTAAAGTGAAACCGTGTGTTTGCACTGGCAAAAGTCTCAACGCGGTTTCTTTGGCAAAAATACTTATTCTTCCCAAAAAAAATTAAATGTACGTTTTTCACTTAAATAAGAGGGCTCTTCATTTTATTCCATAAAATGATGAAACATGAAAGGAAATATGTTGTTTAAAAAATTGGTCTTATTAGGTTTCTGCCCCTCAGATCATAAAAAGTCACGTGGTTAAAGTACTGTGATACTGCTATGATATAAAATGCAGTTTATTATACATAAGCATAATAATAAACATATGGTAAACAAGTTGTTATTCTTTCATAAGTTTTACATTTAAAGATCAATTTGTTTGTTTTTTAAACCTAGAGGTTTGTTTTCTAACCTTTGCTATGTCAGCTGTCTGCTTTAAAAGCTGCCCTGCAGCTGGATAAAAAGACTGGATGTATTATACAAATACTTTAAACGGTCATTTTAGTCACCAATTGCCAGTATCAATTGTTGTGAAAATATTGTTTGATTCAGCAATACTATTGAAAGTCTTGTTTTTTTTATATGAGATTTGGACAATTTGGTGGTTTTCTTATACTTATTATCATTTATTTGTGATATTTCATCGGAGGTAATGCCAACATATCGTAGTACTATATGTAGAGACATTCAAAAAAGGAAATTAACATGTGACATCACAATTACAATATCAATTACATACTTATTACATTGTACAATTAACGTATTATTATTTGTACGCATGTTGTTTTTTTTACCTGCCTATGTTCTTTTGCATTTATGCTATAAACATTGTAAATGTTTAATGCAAATTAATTATTGAACTTACATAACGAGCATTTTCTTTCCAACCACAATTATTTATTTTTATCTAGCTGTAGGAGTTATACAGATAAAACAGCATTTCTGTAGAGGTACAGAGTGTTGTGCAGTGGAAAAACAGAGAAATTCTTAAACGAAAAAATACTGAATAAATATGGATGCTATTTACTTTTAAAATAATCTGAAAAGACTATATGTGAAATTTCAAATATGGTAAAGTTACAAATAGTTAATGTTTCAATAACAGATGTTAAATTTATAAATATGTTACCGGAAGATTAAATATGGCTTTTCCTCTTTGTCCAATCAATTGTCCTAAAAGTTTTGTTATATATAGGTGATAAAGCTGTCTGAACTTAATAAGTTGTCCAGGTGATGATTGTTGTTATAAATTTCATGTTGCTATGTTACATTATTTTGTATTAAAACCTGATTGGTCATTTTGTTATTTAAGAAACAAAGCTGTTAAAATTCTATTGGTCAGTGTAAAACGAAACCATTTTTAGAAATATTGTAAAGTTGGAAAATTTGGACAGTAAGATTTGGGATTTCCAAGTGCTAACATTGTGGCTTTCCATTAGAAATATTTAAAACTGTTTTTTAATATCTATTGGTTAATGTAAGGATAATCTGTGCATATTTTATATATTGTTTGTGGTATTCCACTAAGAAAGGTACATTAAATTATAAAACGGAACATTGTGTTGTGATTCAACCCACCTTAAGTAGAACTGTAAATTAAGAGCAAGATGAGAGTATGACTCTACAAGTTTTAATTTATTTTTATAGTATTGTAATTAAAGAACTTACTATGATGTTCATACTGTTTTACAATTAAACGTTACTGAACATGTTGTACGATGAGATGGCTTATTATTGATGTGCCACGGCTGTATTCTGAAAGTGCACTGAATATTTCCAGTGTGCCCATACCACGTGATTTTGGCGAAATCTTTGGTAATACACCAAGCAGAAATAGCAAAAGATAAAACGCTCGAACTCACGTAAATCCTTTATTTCTTTATGAAATATGACCAAAATGAAACCGAGGCTAAGAAAAATGTTGTATATCGTAAGTGTATGGTTATTATTTTTTAAAACAGACCGACTGTTTTGCCCGAAAAACAGAAAAACTATTTTTGTACAGTAGTACGTAATTTTTTCCCGTTTTCAGGCCAAAATGTCCATCCATCACCATACACGTATGTTGTGTATCATACAACAGAATTTAAAGATTTGAATTTGCTGTATTACCAAAAATACGTCAAAGTCACCTGGTATGAACACACTGTATGATTATTATGTGACAGTGGTTGGGCGTAGGAACAGACAGAGTCCATACTCTCAGTGCCTGAAAGGGCGGATGTACCCTAGGCATTGTAAAGCAAGGAAACTGACAAAAGATCTTTAAGTGAATCTTTGACATAACTATCCTTGACAGTAACACTTTTTCAGTGTCCATGTCTTTTCCAAAGTCTATGACAAGTTTTCCGATTAGCTATAATTGTTGCCGGTCCAGAACGAAAAGAATGTAAACCGTATTTAGTATGATCTAACCCTAATTCAGTTAAAATTTTCTTGAAAATTTTCATTGTTCTTATGTTAGACTTTGGTTTATTTGATGGTTTTCTTTGAATGTTTACACAACTCCACATGCCTCAATATATGCATATGTTCGTCAGAAGTGCTAAGAATCTTGCAGTTTGTAAATAGCTGTCTAAAAGAGCAACTGGACAAGAATATTTTCCTGTTTTTGCTATTATATATGGAGCATGTTGTTAATATCTGTATACATCAGTTTTTGACATTTCGATATAAATTGAACGATATGCATAAAAAAATCTACATTAGATCGTTTTATATTCAAAGGTTCACTTATTCTTAAAGAAACTTTCATAACATAGCACACATAATGTAACTATTCTTAAATTTCCCAAAGAACATTTCTCAAAAGCAATTTCGTGTTGGTTTATACAGAATTTATTTTAGTTCGATTGTGTAGGAAGACACACTTTCGAATCCGTTCCTGGAACCAACCAGTACTGAGCAATGAATGTAAAGTTTCTTGCTCAAGGAAACAACGACTTGCCCCTGACAGGGGTTTGAACCCATGCGGAAATTTCGTGTTATATCGTGCACAAATAATTCTATAGTTAAAATTATCATGAATCTAATGGCAATGCAAACATTATAATAGATCTAACTGATACGATAACATGGATGCAATTAACTGTCTTCAATATGATATAATACTTGTACGAAAAACAATCTAAATTACTGAGAAAAACTCTATTCAGCAACTTCTGTGAAAATTAAACTGTACATTTCAATCAAGTACAGCTCCAGAAAGCAAATTGATTTTAACATCAACTCCAGAGCAAAATACTATTTAATAAACTCCAATGAGGTTCAGTGAGCCAAATAATAATAAATACGCTCCTGTGAGCAAATATAATATTTAACAGGGTCAATGAAAATCCGCTCCGTCGAGCATAATATTTAATACTACTCTAGTATAAGTAATATAAAACAAGGGAAACTACTCAATCTTACTATGTTTATAATTCAATGAGATTTATTTCCCCTAACATTTAACACGTTTCCAAAAATGCCATAGCCATTCTTACATTTTGTGCAATATTTAGCCTCTGTAGGCAACTTAATACATGGTGCGGTGATTTTTCCTTGATGCTCCTAAACTGTTATACGACAGCAACATGGTTTACTGACAATAACGCATAGTGCAATAATTATAACTTGATATGGAATATTAAAGTGATGAATAATCATTTTATAGAAACAGATTATATGACACGATAGCTTTACAAAGTTTAAAACAAACCAGTTTCGCTTGTCCAAGTTCCATATCCTTTATTAGTGAAATAATTTATCATACATGTACGAGTAATATCCGCTCTGCGTCAACATGTATACGACTTTGGCCTATTTAGTATTTCTAATGCTAGCATAAACTAGTTAGCCATGTTATTGTGGTGATCAAACAAACTAATGTTACTATTGAACTTTCAGCCAAAGCTACAAACCTTCCTTTAGATTGGCTATTCAATGTTTATATGGAAGTTATCCGTAGTTTTGTAAATGTTTTTTTATATCACTTATGGATCCCTTCAGCACATATGGAGCTCAAATGCAATCTTGAGCATCGATTCCTTTGTGGCCAAATTTCAAAAAAATGTTTAATTCAGGATTTGTTGGAATTTTAAGCATCGGTCTGTGGTGTGATTTCGTAAAATCGCTGTATTAAATTTTGAGTCCGTTTAGTGCCATTTTTCTTCAAATGCATAGTATGTTTTGGACATACCAGAACCCACGACCGAAAGAATATTTCGATGAAGACTGCATAGAAATTTAATACAAAAATGGGTTATATAGAGGAGAGTCAGCAGGGTAGAATCACATTTCGTTTTCTTAAAAAAGGTTTGAATTTAAGATAACTGTTTAAGAAGTTGAAAACTTACCCTGCGATTGACCCAATTACATATTTACATCTGGTGTTATCATTCACATCTGGATGAGCGGATTTTACCGATGCTCAATTTTCACCCTCTTGTCCCGTTACATACCGGTAATGTGATAGTGGTTACAATGAACCGGACTGCCATCGATACACGACTTCATCGCTTAATTAATACGATAATCTAGACGCCGATTCTACCATACAAAGAAATATCTAGAATAATCAAAGGTAGAATTACTCTCATTCTCATCTGTGCAAACAAATTGTCAGTATAGAATATAGTTTTTATCCCATGTCCAGACATTCGTTTGCTTCAGAATTATTATTACTTGGTTGGACACGTTTTAACATCACAAGTTTAGTTTAGGATATTTTACATAATTTTTATTTATTAACATGTTTGTACTTTGTAATTATAGGTTTATACAGCTTGTTGTCAGGTCAAGCCAAGTCTATTGACCATTCAGGCAGAATAGTAAAATATTATGAAAGTTGTGAATCTTGTCACTGCAGATCTTAGAAATACATGTACATGTATGTAATTTGCTAGCTTGCATGTTCATAAGCTGCAAGCCCTAATGGTCAAAGACCGTACAATTGATTTGTGTTAATGTGTTAGAAATGTGGTCAACGAAATAAAAATCTAATATTATCTATGACCTAATCTTATATCATCTTTGTTTTATAAATACTTATCACATGTGCACTTCAAAGTGTTTTACAACAGTATATGCAATAACAAATAAAGTTAGAAATACAACTGAATTAGTTATTTTGTTGGAAGTTACACCCCTTTTAAACGCTGCTTTTCACATTTAAGTGATCTGTTAAAATGAGGGCCCCGACACTTACGTCAAAGAGCCATCGGCCAAAGCAAACTTGAAAAAGGTAAAGGCAGTTTATAAAATATCCGATTTAAAAGAATTTGTTTGTTTTTTACAAATCATCATTTTATATGCAATTTTAATACGGAATTCCCCAAAAAGACGTTGCTAGAACTTTAACCAAATACAAACTCGTGTGTTTTCTTAAAAGAAGAGGCACATTTTGAGTGATTTCTCTGTCATGAAGTTAATGTTAACCAACCTAATTGTGCATGTAACATTGTGGCACATCACCCACGCCCCTTGGCTCAAAACACAAAGAAAGTTCAAAGAGCTTGGTTATAATAAAATACTTACACTTGTTCAAATGTGATCGAGCCATCGTCAAGGTACTGGCGCCATCGTCAATGTGAAAATGCCCTCATAAATTTGAAAGAGCCAACATATCCATTTAATAACTGTTGATATTGTGGAATATTGGCGAATAACCTTTTACTTCATATAAACGTCTTTTCACGCCTTTTCACATGCTGAGAAATGTTGTTAAATAAGTGATCAATTTTTCGGCGCCATCACCTATCAAAAAGATACATGAGGGGGTGCCCCCTTCTGCTTAGGGTTTTGAAGGGGGTTGCAGCCCCCCTTATCGCCAAGAAGATTTTGGACATGTGAGAGGCTAAAATTGGCCTCAGGTCGATCAGAAGGCAACGTGTAACCAATGCTGGAAAACCTTTGACACTATCACAATCCACTGAGAAGTTGCAGCACTTTGAAATCAGTTTTGATGGAAAAAATTAACGCAAAATAGTGTTTTTTGGCAATTTTGCTATGTTCCCTCTTTGCCATGGTAATAGGAAATTTAAGATTGAGCATGTCGTTACAAAGACTATGGTCCAGTCAACATTTGTGCCAAGTTTGATGAATATTGAAGCATTTTTTTATTGTTTCTTGTAACAGGAGGCTTTTCAATGAAACCAGCCAGTTAATATTTTTAGTTAGACAATCTGCATGAGTTGATGAAAAAATTACTTTCATAAAATGTATGGCGTTAAGCATGCAGTAAATTTCAGGAAAACAATGCAACACGATTTAAAAGTTACTGTCAAAATAATGAACATTGAATCAAAGAATTAATTTTCAGCGCACCACATCGGCGAAAACCCTAAAAGAATTCCAACGACTAAGTTCCCGAAAAAAATCAAATACCCTAGATTAAATACTTAAATATCAAATAGTCTACACTGTGGAAAAAATTAAAAAGGACATTGAATTTTTCATTTGGAAGTCATTAAATTAGTAATGAAGAAGTTATTGAAGTTATTAAACAGATCATATTTTATACTATTTATCAGCATAATTCCACAAATGGACATAATTGAATGGTTTTTGTTGGCTCCATCTCATTGCCTATGGCACTAAAACCTTGTCGGTAGCTTGATCACATTTGAATTAATGTTAATATTTTACTTTTAAATAAACTCTGTGAAATATTTTTTGTGTTGAGCCGAAGTGGAGGTTAGGCACGATTAAATGGGCAGACATTTACTTTACAGTAAAAAAAAAAGAAAAAAGACAATCACTAAAGATGTGTCGCAACATTAAAGAAAAAAAATTAAGTACACATAAGTACACATAAAAGTTCTTTATATAGAAATGTCATTTTGGAGTATTTCGTATCGAAATTGCATCCAAAATGATGTGAAAAATGTTCTACGTGGCATAGCAGAAAAACAAGCATGTTCTTTTCAAGAAACCGTTTTTACCGTATTTTCCATAATAACTATCCAAAGTCTGTGACCTGTGTTCAAGACAATTCTAACTACTTTTAAAGGCATATTATGGCTCAGAAATGAATATATTTTTAATTCTTTAGAAATGGCTAATATGAACTTTATAACGTTTCAATAATGGTTTCAAATCATGTTAGATGCTTTTTACCTGTAGAGATTTACGCTACATGTGAAATAACTCGTCATAAAAGTAGCAAAATGTAAACAAAGTACATGTAGTATTTTAACTTCCATACAAAATACTAAATCACTTTAAATGTAATTATTTATATTTGTCAAAAGGCGGCAGAAGAAAATGAATGCTCAGGTAATTGACCAATGAGTAACTTTTAAGAAATCATTAAAGTACACAAAAAATAAAAAGCTTTTAAGAGTTAAAATTAAATGCATTTCTGGGTCATATTGGGCCTTTAAGGAGTTTGGTAATAAGACAAAGACAGTCCTACTCATATTTTATATAATGTGACTTGTTTGTTGCGCTTGTTTGTTTTTTATTTATTGATTGTTTTGTTTTTGTTGTTGATGTTTTTTTTTTTGGAGGGGGGGCGTCTTTTCTTCTATTCTTCAGATGCATCAAAAAAAGCATAACTTTAATTAACAGACTTTTATCTCTTAATGTTAAAATTCTATGAACGTGGGTTTAACATCACACATTGTAAAAGAAATATGACGACTTTCAACGTCTCTTGTTGGAAAACTACCAGTGCCCCTCCTGGCAGACACTAGCCATTTGTAGGCCTGCATACAATAATGAAAGATTGATATATCCAAGCAAGTATCAATACGCGTACATGTTTCAATATGCAATATATAATCATTGCCTATATCTTTATTTTCTGCTTTACAAGAAATGCTGAGATTAATCATTGTTACAAATACAACATTCATCAGATATTCTTTAATGTATTACCAATACAATCGTGAAGTTGACACGTCAGATGTGCCAGGTGCGGGGACACATCGATGATGTTCAGAACTTACACGTATACATTGTAACATCAAGCGCCACCATTAGATTTACATAGATACGATATTAATAGATGCTGCTTTATCAAAATGGTTCTTGATTGAATACTAACAGAAAACTTCAAAACAGTAACAATAGATTGTGGGTTTTAGAATATAAATGTGTGATAATGTTAATACACAATGATTGTGAAAGTCGTCAATTCATAATGCGAGTTTCCAATAAATTAATGGTAAAAAAATAAAAGATCAAAGTATAATAATATAGTATTCCTTATTACCATAAACATTACATATCTAAGGTTTTAATTCAATCTAAAGTATCGATTTTGAAAATCTTTGACTCCTTTATCACAAAGGCACACACCAAACACAAAATAAAGGTTTTCTGTATATGTTTTGGGGGAGAGGTATTTTCTTTAGCAATACATTTATTTGAAATGGGAATGAAGAACAATTAAATTGTGAGCAGTAATCTACAAGGGCCAAATAGATCTACTTGTTTTCTCTCCCCTTCTAGCTTTGCTTGGCAAACGAGACTGGGTACCAAAAGCAGCTCTAAATTCAAAATACAGCTTGACAAAATTACTACTGCAAGAACATTAAACTACAGCACAGAAAAATTGCTAAAGCACGACGACATAATTACAGCACAACAATATAACTACAGCACAACAGTATTAACATAGCACAACAACATAACAACAGCACGACAACATCACTTCTGCACGACGACATTACTATAGCAAAACAACATTACTATGAACGACAACATTACTACTACACGAATACAGCACGACGACATAATTACAGCACGACGAAATCACTACTGCACGACGATATTACTACAGCACGACGACATTACAATAGGAAAACAACATTACTACAGCACGACAACATTACTACAGCACGACAACATTACTACTGCACGACGACATAATTACAGCACGACGACATCACTGTTGCACGACGAGATTACTACAACACGACGACATTACTATAGCCAAACAACATCACTTCAGCATTTGACGACGAGTTTCAAGTCTATAGTGGCGGCATGGCCGAGTGGTTAACGCGTCGGACTAGTAATAATGTTCGCTAGCCGCGTGGGCTCAAACCCCGTCAGCGACAAGTCGTTGTTTCCTTAAGCAAGAAACTTTACACTCATTGCTCAGTACTGGTTGGTTCCAGGAACGGATTCGAAAGTGTGTCTATAAGCTTATATATAGCTTCCTACACAATCGAAATAAAAATAATTATATTCTATATAAACCAAGTTTATTGTAATGTAATTCTAGGCCATCGGTCCAAATACACAAAATATAAAATCAAAATGATGTTCATCTGGCTGTGTCACAAGTTATAATATACAATACAGTAGCATATTCCATAAGCAACAAGGTAAATACATAGTGGATCATATAGCTCTTAATGTACAAAATGTTATTTCAAGTTCATATAATGAGACACTTTAAAAAACATAGTATAATACATCGGGAAAAAAACAACTTTTTTTTACTTTTGCGTATTTTCCTGGATAAAAATCTTTTGTGAATTTCTACAAATATAAAACACTATACGACAAATAATTTATGCATGAACTTTTGTTTACATTTATATACATGCATTTGTCTGGAAAAATATATGAAACCAAATCAATTCCTATCAATATTTATCATAAGTTTGGTTAAATACAATGCTAAACATTTTAATATATAGGATGATGCTCGATTTTCATTAAGTATGAGAAATTAACTGGTTCTAGTCTTCCGTTATACTAATGAAACAAATATTGTTGTCTTATACTATCAAATAGACGACATTACTACTGCACGACAACATTACTAAAGCAAAAAAACAACAAACATTACTATAGTCTGTCCCACCAAATTTGAATATTTCATGTTTTTTATTACATCTGTAAATATAATAGTAAAATCATTTAAATTAATGTCATGTTAACCTTGACGTAAATATCTCTACGCATGTTTTTTCTTCTTTTTTATAATCTTCCCTTTTTACAGATATTAACATCATTTACCGGACTGCAGTGGAATTATAATACCCAGAAAAAAATCCTGAATGCAAAATACTGTTGAACATATCACATAGATGATTAGATAATAATAAAGTACTCGTTTAAAACACAGTAACAACCAACAGATTTGATGCGATTAAGGTGTTTGATTGCATTTAGTATTTCATCAACAGTTATAGGACAATATCTTATTCCGGAAATACAAAGTTCTCTACTAGAAACAAAATTGTTCAGCTTCACTATTATTGCAATCAGAAGTATTATTACTAAGTCTCTCGAAAAACATATTGAAATCTTCTGAAGAAATGCCATTATTTTTAATTGTGTCATTATTTTAAACATATTTGTGGGAGTTCATTATAACAGTGAAGGCCATTGCAGTAATGATTTTCGTTTTCTTCCTAATGATATTATACACATAAAACATATATGTAGACCATTATGAGGAACATAGTTGATTATTTAAATATTTCCTGTATTTTCTAATTTTCTCAAGCACATGTTTTCAAATAATTAAACATTTACTTGTATAATGCATAGTTAAATTTATGCGAGTATTTTAACATTTGAATGAATGCATAATATTTCTTAGAGTTTTATGACCTCTCTTTTCCACATATCGTACATATAAATATATTAGGTTCTAATACAATTACATGTATTCTACATTAGTTAATGAACATGTACAAAATGATTTATAGAACGAAAAGCGATTCTAAAAAATATTTTTTCCATAAAAAAATGCCTTTATAAAGCCGCTGACACATTTATTGAAATTCTTTTACAAAAATACTTTCTTGTGAAGTGAAATATACTGCAGTACAGTTTTTTTCTCTGTTTCCAAAAATAAAAAACAATGAAATAAACTTACAACGAGCGCAAGTGTACGGCGCGTAGCCAGGCTGGTCTTTGCTAAGTACCCAACCCCAGCCCTTACAACCCCCAAAAATATTTTTAGAATTAAATTATTTAAAATAATGAATATCATTAAAATGTTACAGACCATTATAAAATCAAAGTAACTATATAAATCTATAGCGTAAATAACCAGACGGGTTGCTGTAATTACTGACCTGGCTACCACTTTGTCAAAATGAAAGTACACGCCCACCACCTAACTGTACGAATGAAAGGGAGATCACTGCGTGACTGCGCTTCTACGGAAAATACCGAGAAGAGCCGGAAGATTGGAATTACCCGGATGAAGGATTTCCTCCACGTTGGAAAACTCCATCGCTGCGCGTGGTGAGATTTCATTGGTCCACTTCATATCCTTTAAACCAATGAAAAGTTTCCATCTGTCGTATCACGTGGTTAATACCGGCATACTGCAGTTGACATCTCTCCAGTAAATGGTAAACATCAAGATGAAAATACTCTGTTTCCTAGCCGTTTTGGGGTTTGCATTTGTAAATGCAACAGATTATTTTACAGAGAAATTTGAAGGTAAGTTTTTAGTGTTATTGTTTCTCTCCACAAATGTTTATTTTTCGTTTTTCCTGACTTTTAAGTTTTGCGACTAAAGTGACATTTTGTATCATGACAGTTTCATATCCATTTCGTAAACGTTTTCAAGAAGATCTATATAAAATTATAAATGAACAGTGAACTGTTACAATCTTATTTTTGAGGATTACTTGAACATAATTTTTTTTAAAGTGTTGCAATTATTATAATTCGGTTTGGCTGTTCACGGTTTTCATATTGAATTGACCACTGTTGACTGAACATATTTGCCACTTTAAAACTACCTACTGGTTGGGGACCACCAAAACCGGACAACCACCAAACCCGGACGGCCCCGAAAATGCTTGATTTAGAATTTTCTTTGTTCAGTGGTTGTCAGTCACTTTTTTATCAACAAAAAATGCATGTTTCTTCTATAATTAGGTAAATAAATTTATTTCAACTTCCGTAAATGGTAATATTTTAATGTCTATTTCAAGAATGTTGACGTTGAAATTTGGGGGTCAAGAAAGCAATGCCTGACCTCATATAACAGCAATAATTATTTGCAAAGTAAACAATAGAATATCCAAAACTTCAGCATTTGCTGCTGAAATATTGTGTGTCATGTTAAAAATAAAAAAAGAACACCAAAGCTTTTATCTGAATTAAATCAACATTATTACATATCTGTCCGGACACATGGTACTGTAGTATGTACAATTTAGGTAATTTTGATACCCTCCTTGACGGGCCTCGGATATAAGTGTCAACATAATCAGAACTAAACAAACTAGTTTGTTAGTTAGGAGAAGAACCTAGCTGTACTGTGTCAAATTTTCGTACCTTTAGCTTTAAAATTATGAAATTTGTATAGAAAAATGTTCAAAAAGTGTCCGGTTGATGGTCCCTGACCAGTAGAGGATCTGTATAAATGTTGAGATCATTGTCAGACAAGTTCAAATATTTTTTTTAGATGGATGGGAGAGCAGATGGGTAGAATCTACCCATAAAGGCAGTGATGCTGGCAAATTTGTTTGGACTGCAGGAAAGTTTTATGGAGATGAGAACTTAGACAAAGGTAAGTCAAATATGTTTTAATTCAACATGACCAGTTTTACATTGAAAATTGGTATTTTCTTATTATTATAATAATTTTTTGTAACCTTTGAAGAATTAGAACGTTATTGGAAACAATTAATATTGTAGTGTATCATATATAAATACAAGCCTTTCCTATTATCAACACCGTTTTTTATTGTCACTAAATCTTGTTTAAACAGAAACGCTGTTGAAAAGCAAATTGTGTCTCGTTTAATACAAAAAAATAAATCCTATGAATCTGCAAAATTTCTTCGGCATTGAAGTTGATGAAGTTAATGTATAAAATTTGCATTGTAAATAGATAAATGCCGGACATAAATACATTTATGTAATTCATGATCTATTTATTTTTCCTTTTATTAGGTATACAGACAAGCCAGGATGCCAAGTTTTACGCTCTGTCTGCAAAGTTTGATAAATTCAGCAATGAGGGCAAAGACTTAGTTATCCAGTTTACTGTCAAGCATGAGCAAAATATTGACTGTGGTGGTGGCTATGTTAAAGTTTTTGGAAGTGATTTAAAGCAGACTGATATGCATGGAGACTCTCCATACAACATTATGTTTGGTAAGTAAGAAAAATTTTGTCCATCTAAATGCATATGACTAGTATCAGTTAATGGAGTTCAAATTACAGTTCTTTCAACGGTAATGTAACGATTCCCCACACTAACGATTCGCCACATAACGATTCGACACAGAGTAATAACGATTCGCCACAGTTAAATAACGATTCGCCACGTGTTCAAATACAAACGTTTTCACACCTGTTTTCAAATTGTTGATGGAAAAAAAATTTCCATTTTATTTTTCATTTGTTAATTACATAAATTAATTACTGAATACAGCTTTTATTGAATAAAAACCCACGAAAACCAAATATTTTATGAACAAAATTACATAACACATGTTATAACTTCGTTATTTATATAAACTGGAAAAATATACTAACAACTTAACTGGAAAAATATACTAACAACTTTTATAGAATAAAAACACATGAAAATAAATATATTTTATTACCAAAATTACATCACACATTGTATATGAGAAAAACTTCGTTATTTATATAAACTGGAAAATTATACGAAAACAGCTTTTTTTTAATAAAGACACATGAATATTTTATTACCAAAAATTACATTACACATTGTAGATAAGTTAAACTTTGTTATTTATATAAACTGGAAAATGAAAAGAAAACAGCTTTAATTGAATATATGAAAATAAATTTATTTTATTACCAAAATTACATTACACATTTTAGAGAAGTTATTTATATAACTAACATATTTTATTACAAAATTTACATAAATAAGCTTAATTGCCGCATTGTTTTGAAATCTGCTCACATTGTCAGATAATTAAAGGATTATTTCGGCGTCAATTAAATATTTCTACAACAAGCTTAAGGTGATTGGCTTATTAAAATTAAAGGTGTGACAAATGTTTAAGATATGCGTTCTTTAATCAATTATCGTAAATCAATTTTCGTAATGATAACATGTTTTTGCAATATTTTTTTTTTAATATTTGACATATATAATATATATATATATATATATATATATATATATATATATATATATATATAAAATATATGAAATATATATTTATATATAAAAATATTAATTGACATTTATGTTAATGATTAATTCAATATTTATTTCAACATATAATTACTTATTGTAAATGTACTCCTGTTATAATGTTACTTTGATAAATTGAAAATCCGCGATGGGGGCTTCAAGTTCATGTTACTTACATTAAGAAACATTATTAAATTATTGTCAATGTTAAATTATTAAAACAAAAGGAAAAAGTTTGTTGATAACTAAAAAAAAACATTGTTAGATCTATAATCATACTGTGGCGAATCGTTATTTAACTGTGGCGAATCGTTATTCCTCTGTGGCGAATCGTTATGTGGCGAATCGTTAGTGTGGCGAATCGTTACTAATTCCTTTCAACAGTATACAGAGCAAAGAAAATATTTGTATGAAACCTATTTCTATTCATAATTGTACAAACCTGCATAGCTTTTTACATCAACCTCAGATCAAATTTGTTTTGCCTTATTAGGCATATTTTATTAATGTTGTGAAATATTACAGGCCCAGACATTTGCGGTCCAGGTACCAAGAAGGTGCATGTGATTTTTAACTACAAGGGAAAGAATCTTCTCATCAAGAAAGACATCAGATGCAAGGTAACTTATAGGGATTATATATCTATTTATCTGTTTATAATGAAGTAATAGATCCATACTTAACATAATATAGAGGATATTTGTTTAGTTCAGTGTAAGATCGGAATATATTTCACCGAGTGAGCACCAAAAGGTATATTTCACGAGTGGCGCAGCCACGAGTGAAATATGAACTTTCGGTGTTCACAAGGTGAAATATATTTCGATCTTACACTATACTAAACAAATTTTCTTTTTATTATATGCAAAGAAACGTTTTAAAAAGACATTAAACCTAATACTGAATGAAAAGCGCGCCAAATAATAATACAACGTGACGTCATTTATGACGCCACGTCATTAAGTTGGTACCCAGTTCTGTGCACGCTTTTATTTCACTGAAACAACGTAAGGGGCTTAAATTCAAAACGGTGAAATTATCAAAGTGGTAATTTCACTGTTTCAAACAGTGAAATTACCAGTTTTAAATCACTGATATATTTCTATAAACCACCGAAAAGCATGTAATAAATCAAGTTATCTGTTTTTAGTCTGAAGATCTGCACATGTCAATGTTTGATTTGATTCATCAAAGAAAGTTTTGTTACAAGATGTTCTTTTTAGAAGTTTTAATTCAAGTTTATCATACATGTTACTGTTTACTTTTTTACAGGACGACGTTTTCACTCATTTGTACACATTGATTGTACGATCAGACAATACATATGAAGTAAAGATTGATAACTCTAAGGTAGAAAGTGGTAAACTAGAAGATGACTGGGACTTCCTACAGCCCAAAAAAATCAAGGATCCTGAAGCTAAGAAACCAGAAGATTGGGATGATAATGAGAAAATTGATGATCCAGATGATACCAAACCAGAAGATTGGGATAAGCCAGAACACATTCCTGACCCAGATGCCAAGAAACCCGACGATTGGGATGATGAAATGGACGGTGAATGGGAACCCCCAATGATTGATAACCCAGAATACAAGGTAGTTTTGTTTTCAGTTATTAAACATTTCAGGTGTATGAATACTGGTTGATTGTACTTTCACATTATTTTCAAGAATTTAAGTGTATCAAGTTCAATTTAATATAATTTGAAAAAGGTAAAAATATGATGTTTTCATAATTACATGGTCAATTACCAAAAGGTTTAAACGGAATGTTCATGATATTTAACACACATTAAAACTCTATAATTCTAGAAGAAGATATTATGTTGCTATTTTAAGTAGGATTTGAACTGTTTAGCAATGATTCTGTACATGAGCCATTCATTCATAAGCAAGTATAATACCAACATATTTCTTTCATACTTGCATTTTGAAGTATTTTTTTTCCAAATAGAAAGAAAAATTTTGTTAACTGCAGGCAGAAGAAATACATCTTATATAAACATTAAAATTATGAAAATAAATTTATACTTACAAAACTTATATGCATTTAATTATAAATTAGGCTATTTGAAATGCTTTGGAATTTAAAATGTATTCATTTTAAACAATTGATCTTTGCTTCCAGGGTGAATGGAAACCAAAACAAATTGATAACCCAGCATACAAAGGAAAATGGATTCACCCAGAAATTGATAACCCAGATTATGTTGCTGATGATCAGCTTTACAAATATGACGACATTTCAATCATTGGTTTTGATTTATGGCAGGTGAGTAATTGAAACTCTGTAGAGCTTAAGTAAAGTTGAGCAAGTCCAAATAATGTATTATAATGATATATGCAAATATATGAAAGATAAGGTAGAACATTTCAGACTGCCAAGCCATAACCCAAAGTATTTTAAGTGGCTGGTATAAAGTTTTATTTTTTTCTCTGAAAATTCATGTGTTTTTCATCAAGAATAACTTGTAAATAATTGTTTTCAAATCATGCAAGGACACCAGGTCCCAAGGTCAAACTAAGTACATGATAGAAAGTAGACAAAAACTTGAAAGAGGCACAATTTCAAGAATCACTCTAATTTTGCTTTAAATTCATTATTTTTCTTCCAATTCTGAATATGTATGATTTACTTTTCAGGTAAAATCTGGAACTATTTTCGATAACATAATTATCACAGATGATGTTAAAGCAGCTGAAGAATTTGGAAATGAGACTTGGGGAGTTACAAAAGATGCCGAGAAAAAAATGAAGGATAAACAAGATGAAGAGGAGAGGAAAGCAAGAGAGGAAGAAGAAGCAAAAGCAAAGGAAGCTGGAGGTACAAAGCATTCTTTATATAAAATAATTGATTATTAATTTTTGAAAACATTTATGATTGAGGATTGGTCAACAGTTATGCATGTAAATTGTTGATATAAGTTGCATTAAATGATTTGTAAATGGAGTAATATTTCAATGCTTGCATTTTTTATGGAGGTTCGAAGTGTTCTTTAGATAAAACAATTGATAATTGAAAACATTAACATTAGCTGCATTAAATGATTTGTTAATGGAAAAATATTTTAATACTTGTATTTTTTATAATCAATACCAATACATTTATAAGATTTTCATTTCTGTCTTAATTGTATGTTTGAATAAGGCAATAAATTCTTAATACTATTCTACAATTTATTCTTCAATATTTGTAGGTGATGATGAGGAGGCAGATGAAGATGAGGAAGAAGAAGAAGAAGATGGTGATCCCCATGACGAGTTGTAACCATACCCATTAAATTAGACCACACCCCCATTTAACTCACTTCATTATTGAATCATTTATCAACAGTCATCGTCTGTGAGATCATGTTCTTATTTGATTGCAGCATTTACTCATGACACTATCGGACACTTTCTATTACAATGTAGTTGAAGTGTAAAAAGCCAATACATTTACATACAAATTATCATACTTACAAAAAGAGTGAATAATTTAACTGACTCTCTCATAGTTAGTACTCTATATAAAATGGTTAACAAAATAAGCACCAAATGTAGTTAAGACTGTATTTTAGGAACTTTTTAAAGCTGTCTTGTCACAAATTCACTTTGATAGTGAATAGTTGTCGGGGACTATTTGCACTGTGATAATGCATGAAAATCTTGTATAACTAGCCATATTCTCGGGAAATCAGTTGCATCACATGTTAACCAAAAAGTATGCTTGTGAATACAATGTTATTGTACATTTGTGTATATTTATGTTTAAGTACAGCAGCTGTTATTGCAAGATTAATAGGAAGTTATTTAGTTAACAATTCAAGAAATTGTTGTCTAGGTGACTATAGGCAATGTTCAGTATCAGTTCACTTGCTCAAAATGGCGATCAGTAATGTTTTATTTTGAAATTGTTAGTGATTAATTGTTTATATGGTATATAAATGTGTAAATGAAATTGTTATGAATGTGGTTTTATGTTGTTGCTTGTAGTTTTGTGTAAACATGAACTGATCTGAATATTGCTGTATGTTTAACTAGTGTTTGTACTGTTTAAGGGATATGTTGGTATTATAACTTAAATGGTATAAAATGTTTTATAAAAAATTAAAATGTCTTCGTCATTACTGTAATCCAAAATAGTTATTCTCGAGCTGATCTGGTGAACTTATAACAAGGTTTCCTTCTTGTTGATGAGCTGTTAACCAAACAGATGAAAGATTGAGTATCTGTGACAAAAGGTTTTTGTTTTATTCCAGTGTTCGAAATTGGCACTAGTCTTATAGCCCCTGACTACTAAATTTCTCCTCGGGGCTACCAACTTTTCAAAGTAACAAGTCCGACCAGGCTACTGTATTTTCAGAAGCAATATAAACAACTGTTTTGAACAAATGAATTGTGCTAGTGAAATGTCTTTTGGGCTATTGAATATTCCAATCTGGTAGTCCGACCAGCCTAGTGGTTTCAAATCCGAATTTCTTACACTGTTTATTCTGAACATTTTGATCTGAATGGTTTATGGTTCTACTCTAGTGCTGGCATGTACCTGAATATTCAAAGAAGCAACATAGTATGTTCAACCTCGTTGGTCTTTAAAGTCATGTGACTAACACTCTGTCTGAAAAACAAGATCTGCCAATGATTTTGCAAAATACTTGAACTGTAAACTTGAAAAATCGAAAACTTCAAAACATTCATTGAATCATGAAAAGTTGTGGTATTTAATGGCAAATTTTATTTAAAGAGATATCCCCTTGACTTTAAACTTGGGAGAATTAGAACAGAATTGACATAATACATCGACAACCAGCAACATTAGGACTTTTGTACTGTCGTAGTCATTCTGACTGACAAAAACTTTCACAAAAGTCCACACATACTCTGCTGAATTTTGACCAATCTGAATGTGACAAGAACTGAAAATATGGAGCTATAACATGAACAATGTAGCTGTGATGTGAGCATCAAGTAACGAGGCTATGAAAGAAGCATTACAGCTTTAATACGGGACACAAAACTTCAATCTTACCAGACAGTGCAGCTTTCAAGTTCGCACACACTCTGATGGGTAACAGGGTATCCCCCCACCCCCCACCCACCAATACATGGCAGTGGCATAAAAATTTGAAGATCTATCCTCTGCAAAGGACTGGTTCATATCCATTTTAATAATTAAATAATATAAAGTATGAATATAAATACTCTTAACATCTGATTTTATCATTTAAAATTATCAAATTAAACACTTTTCGACCATTCAAAATATTCAATGTTCTTTTGAAAGTGAAAACTCGTGCAAATCTTTATGCTGAAAGTTTGTCTTTCATATTTGAATAAAAAACCCAGGATATCTTTAGTTCAAACTAGAGTCTGTTTTTTATCACGGCCATATAAGGCAACATTTGTTCAGATTTCAGTTTCTGAAAACTTTCTAAAAGCAAATTGCGAACAAAAATAATATTCTCCTAAATTTTTCAATATTTTCAAATTGCAAACTTTTAGATTAAAAGACATTTGCCAACTTAGGCCTTTGATATATGCCTGATGCATTTTTTTATCATTTGAAATGTTGCATTTTTACCAATCCAATCAATTTTAGAACATGGCACCTGGTCATCTGTTGGGAAGTGTCACCATATATCAATTCTCTTGTTTACCAACACTATAAAGGCCATACAGAGACTTTCCAGCTTTACTGGTAGAGGGACATGTCTTTTGTCAATTTAACATGTACAAAATACAACAAGTACCAGTATAAAAATCAGTATGATTTATTTGTCATTAACAGAATTAAAATATAAATATGCCAATCATAAATTAAAATCTAGCAATGTAATAAGCACACTTTAACAATATAATTTTGATCACACACTCCACTTTAATTACATCAACTAACAGAAATTCAAAATAATACTTCATATTGCTTATAATATATTTCTAGCAACTACAACCTAGGCGTGAGCATTTGTAAGTTGTTTAATTCATTCAAAGATGTATTGCACATAAGAAATGCCAACTATATTAGGCCATCTACAATAATAGTATAACAGAAAATTAATAAACTAAAAAATATATATACTACAGTAAATGAAATAGGAATGCCATCTATATTAAGGCCATCATAAGTAATAATATACATCTATGACTATAAAACTGAAGAAACGGTTAACATAAAATACAAGGATTATAAAATACACAAGGCCTGGTATAACTTATATAGAGTATTAACATGTAAGCTGCGCCGCTGTATAGCATTTTCACAATGTGTTGATGTTATTTTATCTGTTGTCCAATAGATGTTATTCAGAACTCGGCAAATGTGGGTTTTTCCCAGCTTATCTATAGGTAAAAAAACTTTAACCATTATAGCTTCACTGTGCACTACCGGTGACAATTGATTAGTCAACCTGCTTTTTTTTAAAGCTGTAACTGTACGTTTGTTTGTACCTCAGATTAGCTGGGAAAATCCCAAATATTCTTAATTCCGAAGTTAGTCTATTGGACTGCAGTATTTTCAAATGTATCGCAACACATTTACTTTGGTAAATCAGCTAACTATTTTAACAGTCTAGAAAACAGACTGTTTTTAAAAATAATTTCAAATAATAGAATTTAACGAAATATCTGGTCTAACAGGTGTGCCCGTTCTTGACCAATCTAATTTCATAAATGCTTATTTATGAACACTAACCTATCTATAATTGATGTGTATAAAGATATTATGTTCATCGAGGTACATTTCCATATTTAGAAATCATTCATGCATAAATCTATTTCAATTTTCAAGCTAATTATGTCATTTCCATGTAAGTTTTCATACCTATGTATTGTTATTGAATTTTCATCCAGTAGATTTATTAATTAAGGTCACTTTAATAAGAGTTGCTGTTACATAAATTTAACAAAATGCGAATAAATAGACAACACAACATAACAATAATTTTGGTTGTTAAAAAAACATGATTGGTATCATTAACAAATTTAAACTGTTAACATAATCGTAACTTGTGGAAGACAAAACAGGAACATTAACAAGTATAGTAATAAGCTATTTACAACATCAAATTTCACTGTAAAATGATATGAACAAATTCTTGATGAAAATTTACCCTCTAAATTTCATTGTATTTATATTGTGAAAAAATGATTGTGAAAGTAAAAATATTTCATTTATATTAATTAACAAATTTGAATCCAATATTAATCAGAAAATTGTTGATATACAATAAAATGGTCACTTGAAAAACCTGAAGCCAAATAATTGCAAGTGAGGCATAAGCTACAATGCATATTCCCCCATGAATAAAGCATTTACATGTATACAGTATTCCAAGATTATCTGATTAAAATCAGATCCTAAATAACAGTATATGTTATTGGGATCTGACTGACACCAACACAAGAGGTCAACTTGTAAATCTTACAATCTGGGGTTTCAACAGTGTATACCAAGATCATTGTTATACAACATTAAATACACTCTACATATTTGACAAAATCACAGAAATTTGATTCACTAGAAAACCAATTCCTGAATGTACTGACTAATGATATTTATACAACTGAATATACATATACGTATAATATAGAACATTTTTATAAAAAATGAATGTATATGCTTATAAAAACAACATTACTTATTTTGACATAAAAGAACCACTGCACGCATACAATATCTATGGAAGACCAAATTGGTTTTTGCCCTCCTACAGTGTGATGGTTACTGTAGTTTAAATTGTAAAATCATAATATAACAAAATACATTTCAAAATACAAACTTATGACATATTTTACTATGACACTGTTCCCTAGTCCATAACACGATTCCATGAAAAATCACCTCTTAAAATTCACCATATGACAAACAATTGTTAAAATTTCTTGTTTCTATCTGTTGCATATAAAATTCTATATGTGGATCAAAAGTAAAGTTTGATATTATAATTAAAACATTTCAATAAATGCAACATAAACTTTTACATTTACTCTCTTAATACTAACATTTATATCACATTAAAATTGACACAAAAACTGTGTTATACTTCATACTATTTGTAGAAAATTAAACATGGATGCAAGTTGATACAAAAGTCATTATTTCATAGAAGTCTAATGTTTATAAACTGAAAGTACATGTACAAATTGATAATGAAATAAAAATATGGTTCATTTAGTAAGGTTTTTATGCTATTGGATATTGAAAACTAATATACATGTAGGTTAAAAAAGTAAACATTTACAGGCACAATTTATTCAATTGCACTTGGTAAGTTATATGCAGTAATAAATATTTAGAAATAGAAAGTAATGCGAGTCAAAATTATTTTCTGTCATCAGATTTTTCAAAGAATGATTCAATACAAAGTTTGTTTCAACATCAGCAACACTATATAGTACATGTACATTTGCGTATATCACTAATTGAAGGTTGATTTTCAGTAGTTTAATAGATCACATCAGAGAAGTCACAAGTTGTTAAAACAATACAAATACATAAACATCTTTGGTCACCTTGATGATCGCTCATCTGCAACAGAAAACAATTTAAGTTAACAGATAAAGAAACTAGAAATGTGTCATCATGCCACAGATGCCCCCGCATGCAGCCAAAATTTCAGATGGTGCATTAATTATTTTTTTCATTTTAAGTTCAAAGCCCTTAAAACTTTTCAATGTTAACACAAACCATTTCCATATTTCCATACAATGTTCAAGGCACTGAAATTATTCAGTCTTAACCTTTTAGAAATAGCATATTGCATATTTGTAGCCAAAATAATGGCTAAAAGAATGAGTGCTGAAACTGAAAGTTCAAAATTTTTCCAACATTCAGGAAAGATAAGTTTGTCTAAAATCATTGAACCATGACCAAATTCAAACTTAAACTGCTTATTCCTAAGATGTATCTATATTATTTTCAAAGTGAAAGGGACATAACTCTGCCAAAAAATCATCAAACCATGACCAAATTCCAACTTGACCTGCCCATTCCTTTGACATATCCGTATGTCAAATTAAAGTTGAATATGTAACACTGTTGGGTAGATAATGAACAGAAACTGTAAATTTCATATTATTTTCAAAGTGAAAGGGGCATCACTCTGCCAAAAATCATTGAACCATGACCAAATTCGAACTTGGCCTGGGCATTCCAAAAACATATCCATATGTCAAATTTGAGTTGAATGTGTTGTACCATTGGGGAGATAATAAACGGAAACTGAAAATTTCATATTACTTTCAAAGTGAAAGGGGCATAACTCTGCCAAAAATCATTGAACCATGACCAAATTTGAACTTGACCTGCGCATTCCTTTGACGCATCCATATGTCACGATTGAGTTGAATGTGTTGTACCTTGAGGGAGATAATGAACGGAAACTGAAAATTTCATATTATTTTCAAAGTAAAAGGGGCATAACTCTGCCAAAAATCATCGAACCATGACCAAATTCGAACTTGACCTGTATTTTCTCATGACATATCCATATGTCAAGTTTGAGTTGAATGTGTTGTACCGTTGGGGAGATAATGAACGGAAACTGTAAATTTCATATTATTTTCAAAGTAAAAGGGGCATAACTCTGCCAAAAATCATCGAACCATAACCAAATTCGAACTTGACCTGTATTTTCTCATGACATATCCATATGTCAAGTTTGAGTTGAATGTGTTGTACCGTTGGGGAGATAATGAACGGAAACTGAAATTTCATATTATTTTGAAAGTAAAAGGGGCATAACTCTGCCAAAAATCATCGAACCATGACCAAATTTGAACTTGACCTGTATTTTCTCATGACATATCCATATGTCAAATTTGAGTTGAATGTGTCCAACCGTTCTTAAGATAATGAACGAAACTGATGATGACGGAATGACAGAATGACGGAAGGATGGAAGGACGGAATGACGGAACAGGGTAACACTATATGCCCCGGCCATTACATGGCGGGGGCATAAAAAGCATCTGTTTTTTTGTTTGTTTTTTGACCAATAACTTAGAAAAATGCAATCACAATGCCCTTTCTGCAGTCTTTGGATAAGGACCTCAAACACAATAGTATGAATAAACTGTTTCTGTTTACATCTCTAAAACCACATGGTAGAACTACTTTCAATCCTTATTAACTCTGAGGTAATTACAGATAATAGCCGAGGATGTTCCAATTAAGAAAATGTTAAGACTTTTTACATGCTAAATCCTGTTTAAAAACCTAACACATGTGTATATCACAGCCCAAAGCTGGCAAAGGTTGTGTTTTTTTTAGATTTCAACACTAAGCATATATTTACATCAACAGCATGGTGTAAAGATATCTCAATCTTACCTCATTTAAAAGCTGATTGCATACCAAATGGATCATTGGCCTGTGAAAAATATATAAAAGACAATATAAAAGACATTAAACAATGTTTAATTATAAAAATTAATATTCTGCGTGTCTAAATCCTACAGTCATATGACTTTTAATAAATTACATGTATAGCATAGCTAAACAAGAGGGCCATGATGGCCCTGAGGTCGCTCACCCATAAGAAGATGTTTCATGCTAAACATCTAAGTTCTAGCTCATTGGGTTTTTTAAAAGAAGATTTTTAAAGTTTTTACTATACACATATAGTTAAAAACAATGACACCCCTGGGGCAGGGCCAGTTTTGACCCCCGGGCTTTTATTTGAACAAACTTTGTAGATATTTACTTAAAGATGTTTCGTGCTTAATATCTAAACTCTAGCTATTTGGGTTTTTTCAAAGAAGATTTTTAAGTTTTTGCTATACACATATAAGGAAAATCAATGACCCCCCGGGCGGGGCCAGTTTTGACCCCAGGGCTTTTATTTGAACATACTTGGTAGACACCCATCAGAACATGTTTCATGCTAAATATCTTAGCTCTAGCTCTTTGAGTTCTTTAAAAGAAGATTTTTTAAGTTTTTACTATATGCATATACAATATGCATATAGGAAAAATCAATGACCCCAGGGCTTTTATTTGAACAAACTTGGTAGACACTCATTAGCAGATGTTTCATGCTAAATATCTTAGCTCTAGCTCTTTGGGTTCTTTAAAAGAAGATTTTTTAAGTTTTTACTATATGCATATAGGGAAAATCAATGACCCCCTGGGGCGGGGTCAATTTTGACCCCAGGGCTTTTATTTGAACAAACTTGGTAGACATTCACTAGAAAATGTTTCATGCCAAATATCTAAGCTCTAGCTCTTACTGTTCTTTAAAAGAAGATTTCTTAAGTTTTTACTATATCAGTATATGCATATAGGGAAAATCAATGACCCCCCGGGGCGGGGTCAATTTTGACCCCAGGGCTTTTATTTGAACAAACTTGGTAGACACTCACTAGAAGATATTTCATGCCAAATATCTTAGCTCTAGCTCTTTGGGTTCTTTAAAAGAAGATTTTTTAAGTTTTTACTATATGCATATAGGGAAAATCAATGACCCCCTGGGGCGGGGCCAATTTTGACCCCAGGGCTTTTATTTGAACAAACTTGGTAGACACTCACTAGAAGATGTTTCATGCCAAATATCTAAGCTCTAGCTCTTAGGGTTGTTTAAAAGAAGATATTTAAAGTTTTTTCTTTCGGTTGCCATGGCAACCAGAGTTCTGCATGGAATTAAATTCTTTGAACAATTTTTAAAGGTGACCACCAAAGGAACATTCCTGTGAAGTTTGGATGAAATTGGCTCAGTGGTTTATGAGGAGATGTCATTTAAATGAAAAGTTTATGGACGGACGGACGGATGGACGCCGGACGAAAAGCGATCACAAAAGCTCACCCTGTCACTTTGTGACAGGTGAGCTAAAAACGTAGCATACTATTTCAACACTGGTTAGGGTGGTCTTTATACTTTTTCAAGTTGTGGTCTTTATACATTACATTTCAAGTTATTGTATTTTACCAAGGTTTATCTTCTACATACTGTATATTACACAAGATCTTAACTTTATCTACCTTCACTGTTCAAGTACAACCCTAGAGATATATGTATGTATCATTTTCAACAATAGTACTTAAAAGGGTAGAACCACCTGTCTTCCAGACATCCATATCATAAGATAAATAAAATATATAAAACAGACAAGCTTATGAAAAAGGAAAGCAGAGTCCACTTTAAGTTCATAATATTAATTCAACACTAACATCAATTTACTGCTCACAATATTTAGAGTACAATTATTTAACTATTAAATTGTTAGCCGTAACATCTTGCTCATGTAACTAGTATACAGACAGGTCAGTCAATACATTCTGTCTTGACTTTACACTATTGTCTACACAGAATAAAATTCATATTGAAATCTTTGTATGAATAACACAAAATGTATGCAATTCCTAGAAAGAACAAAATTCTGTTACTTTTTTCTTATATTGTTCAATTTTGCCATCATTTCTTAAATTTGAAAATTTGTGATTCCATTAAGTACAAAGAATGCAACTGGTTTAGGGATATACACAGAAGTGGTCTGAACAAATTTGGTATACATTACATTACATGTGTATAGCAGGTGTGTCAAAGGGAGATTATATGATGTCTATAAAAATGAGGTTATAGGTACATATAAAAGCAAGATCCTTTCTTATCAGTTTGTGAATGTAGAGATATTCTTGATCATTTTTGCTAAGGTTATATTTTACCCGTTTTGCTGAAATATTCTGTAAAAAAACCCTGCTTTAATCATCATGAGATAACGACATTTATCTCAACCCTTAATATATATCTACTAGTAACAATGGTAAATAAATTGCTGATAATTTTTGCAATGATAACAAATGTTAACATCTGTATCACACATTAAGAGTTTAATATAACTGTGCTGTATTTTGTTCAGTAAATTAATTGAGTTACAATTGTATTGTATTATACTATCAATAAGACTGTGGCCTATTTCAAGTGGTAACAAACAACCTAGATTTATTTCTACATTATCTCACTTAACGGTACAAAATGATAGATAACATTACCTAAATATTCGAAATATTTACAATGAAATTCAGCACATGATAAAATACGAGTTCTCTTCATTATTCGACATGACTCTTGTTTTTCCCTGCTGTATTAAAATCTAAAGGTCCATTATGTCTCAGAAATGCTATCAATTTTATTTCACAAAAACTCTTTACTTTTGGTATCTTACTACAGGGACCGAAAAAAATACTCATTTGCCATATCCATGACCTTTTTTCAACTTTAGCCTGTTGGCAATCGGTATAATCAAAGTAAATTGGTATTTTTGTATGGAAGTCAAAATACTGCTTTGTTTACATTTTGTTACTTTTACGACATATTACTGCATGTTCAGTGCTATTTTCTTCATTTGTTAAACATTAACCATGTTCTAAATCTATTATTTAACATGTTTGACATTTCTAACGAATAAAATAATTGATTCCTGAAGTAAAATGTGCCTTTTATCATCTGACGCAAACAATAAAATGTTAATAACTGATCATTTAACTTACCAGAAACCTTTACTTTGCCTTTTTTGGATGAAGATCTTTCAAATTTAAAGGCTGAATCATTAGACAAAGTATTGTCAAACACTGAGAAAGGATCAGAGTCACTGTTTGGGAGTGAAGTATTGACTACAGAGGTGAAAGGATCATCTTTACTAGCAAGCTGAGTATTGCTCGATTCTGCAAAAGGATCGGATGCAAACGGGTCATTTGCAAATGGATCAGATTGTGTAAATGGGTCCTCCGAAGCAAAAGGATCTGTAGATACAAAAGGATCAGCTACAACACTAGAAGATCTATGAATAGTCTCTGAAGCACTAGAAGTCACATTTTTATGAGATTCGTTTAATGAAGTTTTTTCTTTAATGGCACTTTGTGAGTATTTTTGTTCAGCATCTTTATCACTTTCATTTGTTTTAACACAGTTATTAACACTTTTGATATTAGAGTCTTTCTCTCCATGTATCACAGTGTCTAATGGCCTAACAGCTTGGGTATTTTGAGTATTGTCTGTTGTAGATAAAGGTAAAGTTGCTCCTGCTTGAGGAGAACTTTTCATGAGTGTTCCCCTAGGTCTAGGCCTAGGCACTATCTTTGTGTCTATATTTGATTTTGGTCTAGGTGGTAACGGGGGTGTGGACTGCTGTACCACATTTTGAGATTCAGTTAATGAGTTTAGACTGGTAGTACTTTTATTACTATCAGAACTTGTTGATTTTGGACGGGGTGGTAAAGGTGGATTATGAGCAGGTAAAGGGGGTGTGTTTACTGAAGTTCGAGGAGGGGGTTGGGGACCACTTGGGAAGTGTTGGTTCAGGTTTTGACTAGCAATGTTTTCTGGTAGAGGAGGAGGTGGTCCCTGGGGTAGGGGTATATTAAAGGCATCATCATCATCACCAAATAAACTGTCTCCAAATAAAGCCTCTTGCGTGCTGGGTTGTGCAGTAGATTGTGTTCCAGGATTATTGCTGGTGAAAGGATCATTTGCAAAGGGATCAGATGTGCCAAATGGAGTTCCTGATCCTCCAAAGGGATCAGAATCTGCTGATGAATCTTCACTTGCCTGAAACCCAACTGGTGAGGCAGGTTTTGGTGAAGGAGATTTATCAACTTTAAGAGCATTCAATGACTTTTTCTCTGGTGTTGCTAATTCAGCAAACATATCCTTTGGATTTGATGCTTTTGTTTTTCCTCCAATGTTCACAAGGTCTCCAAACACATCAGGTTTACCAGCCTGTACATTCTGTTGCTCTTCCTTCAGTGATGTTAACTTAGCTGGTTCTAAAACACCTTCTTCAAATGCAGTGTTGCTTGCAAAGGGATCACTTCCAAATGGATCATTAGCTGGCTGTAAAACAAAGGTAACATCATAACATCCTGTCTCAAGACTATTGTAGTAGATCTACAAGTTAATTCAGCAGAAAATTATCTTATTCATCTATTACTTTTACATATATACACGTAAAATCTGATGATATATAAAATGTCATTCCAACAGAATTAATAACTTAAACTTGAAAAAAAGAGATTTTATTTCTCTTGGATCTATCTTTAAACAGCTCTGATACATGTCAAAACAAAGATAATCAAGATTTCAGATATAATGAGTGGAGATATTAACCTTAAACAAGCTGCATAGTTAAAACCATTCTAATACAATCTTACAGCACTTCAGGGCAAATGAGTCACCAGCCATAACAATTGAACAATAGGCAAGAAATCCCTGAGAAGCCTCATTACCTCAAGAAAAGATACCTAAATATCTTCCTTTTGTAACAGACACTAGATTTATCTAGATATATTTATCTAGATTTAATCCATAATTCTTTCGTCTTTATAATATGTGAAAGACCTTTACTTTTATCAATGTAAAAAAGTAATAAATCAAATCGTAACAATAAAATAAACTTTATCTTACAGTAAATGTAACAGCCGGCTGGTTACCAGGCCTGGGGGGTACACCTGGAAATGTAGGGGCTTGTGGTTGAGTTCCAGGAAATGGTGTTGGAGGGAAGTTGCCTGTTCCAGGGAAGTTTGCTCCTGGAAATCCCATTCCAGTTCTTGGCGGAACATTTGGTGGTTGTGCCTAAATTAATACAATTAGTAAAATAGCTTCACAAATCTTTAATTACAAGGACACAGTAGTCAGAACAAGTACACAGTAGTTAGAGTCATCAAGATTTGTTATAACTTTTTTTTGGCAAAGCAACTTACATCACTATATATATCTTACTTTTTTGTTTTATTTCTCAAAATTGTGTTAAATGTAAACAAAAAATACATCACTAGTAAGAGATATATCTACAGAAAATACAATAATATTTACCTGGAAAGGACTTGGCTGACCACCAAAAGGTTGACTTGCAGGCTGACCAAATGGTTGACTTGCAGGTTGACCAAATGGTTGATTGGCAGGTTGACCAAATGGTTGACTTGCAGGTTGACCAAACGGTTGACTTGCAGGTTGACCAAATGGTTGGCTTGCAGGTTGACCAAGTGGTTGACCTCCAAATTGACCAGCCTGGCTAAATAACTGACCACCTTGTGGTGAGAATGGTTGGGCAGTAGAGAAAGGAGCTCCTCCAACTGTAAACATTGACTGCGATTGATTCTGGGTCATAGTTTGAGATAGTGCATTCAAGTCAGAAGACCAAGCACTACCCCCTCCTGATGCTGGTGTTGTTGTTGTACTTGTAGTAGGTGGCGCTTCAAGTTCCTTAAATAATTCTTCCATTGTATCTATCTGTTCTATACGCTGAAGATATATAGAAGAGAAATAATTGGTGAAATTTCTTCTTTGATTTCTTACATACTTACTATTGAGATTAATTAGAAGTCATCTTCCTAAGCTTAATCTTTACACTTTTCAAGTTATACCAGATAATAAATTCTGGCTATTCAAATTACCCTTAAATTAGGAAATTATTTCAATTCATGTGACAAATAAATGTAAAATTCCCTAAACAGATTTATAAGATATTAATACCAACCCTTTCTATTGTCTCCAACTCTGTTTCCATCTGTAACAGGTCTGGACCTTCTGATGACACAGGCTTGTTGTTGTTTGGTACCTAAAAATACATAATACAACTTATTGATACAATTGTTTATTTCACATCAAATAAAATGTAACAAATGAACTTTCAGAATTGCACCATGTGATTTCCCAATATAAATAAACAATTTTATAACAAATCACTACTGAACTCTATCTAGTCTCATTTTCCAAGTAACAAACACATACAATTTACAATTGTACTACATATAGCCTTGTTTTCATTTGCAGAGTTCAAAAATTCTATATTAACCTCATTACATACAATCATAAATGAAATTTTAGTTTTTAAATTTAACTGGAATACAATCTAATGGTAATTTTTTTTTTCCAGATCCATAAGTCACATCATATAATCACCACAGTATCAGGATATTATTATTTATGTTTTGTGTAGCTAACATAGTAAAACATGGACCAACAATTACTTTATATAGGTAGTGATTTAAGCACTAACCGAAAGAAACAATGTACCTTTTACATGTTAATTAGAATTACTGATTATACCCTTTATACTTGTATATACATGTATAATAATCTCACCTGGTATGTTGGGTCAGAACCATTTTCTACAGGTTTGCCATTCTTTGGTACCTAGTAATGGAAACATGACTGATTATATCAACCAATGATTCAGAATCAAAGGCCAATTTACTAGTAATTAACAGTATTTCTATCTTCATAATGTCACAAGGTTACATTTTATAAATTAACTTATACATATCTGGACAACAATCTACATTCTTAATTATGTATTATTGTAACTCATACTACAAGGTATGATATATATTGTAGAACATATTCTATATACCAGAATTCTACATGTTACATCTTATGACTGTCAGAACTAGTTCAATATGTCAATATTTACCGGGTATATATAGATTCCCGGCTGTTTCATTTGGTGTTATGATTGAGATTTATAACAATTGCTTTTTATAACAGCTGTTCCATAGATATTAGGATCTAAAAAATATGCAGCTTCTAACCTTTTCCCATTTTATTATTTATTATTTATGTGTTGAAAAACACATTGAATAAGAACATAGTATTCTTAATTTACAAAAAATGAACTATATTGGACTACCTGTATATAAGATTTTGCCAGTAACTGTTTGCCTGAAGGCTTTTTATCATTAAACACTGATTATATCCAGTTTATATAAAATCAATATTACTTTGCCACAAATGATTTCTTAATCTAACTGATTACTTTAAAAAAATCCAGTTAATCAATCAGGCCACAAGTACCAAGAAAGAGCATTGAAGAACAAGGTTATCTAATTTGTATGTGGAGGGGTAGTCCCCAAGTAGAAATCAAATAGCGGAAGGTTATCATTGTAACGTAGTCAAAAACAGAACTTTTTCCCTGTTTTTATGATATCTAAACTGAAGAACAAAATTTAGCCAATCTTCAGGCATGTAAACATCCATACAAGATTTGGCTATCTTTATCCCTGGCTTTTTGCATCTCAGGTCATCTGGGGCAAGCAGTGCAGTACAGTGTAACTTTTGAAAACTGAACCTGTGAGACAAGCCGAAAAGTTCAGATTTTGGAAGTTACCTGAATTCAGTAGTTACACTGTATCTAGAGTTTAGGTAACTAATTCCCATAGTTAAGTTAATGCCTGGAGCTTTGTTATGTATAATTATAATTTATCTGAAACACATTTCCAATGAAAAGATCGCTCAGCCATGAGACAAAATGAATACATCAACATAAACTTCATGATAAATAAACTATAGACTGGAAATTATCTCAATACATTGACAAAAACAATTTAACTGCAGAAGAATTATATATACAAGTTCATGCTTTTACAAATAATATCTCACCAGTGACAAACATTAGTCACGAAACTAAGTAAATATTAGAAAATTAAGGTAGTTTCTAAGTTTTTTATAACTAATCATGCAAAACAATCATGCTGTTAAAATTGTGGTAAACTACACTTTATCTTATTAGCAAAAATGACTATTTTGAATCCATAACCTGACTTTGACCTTCAAACAAAATATTGATCATGTCACTACTTATATGTTTATCTTGATAAAGTCATAGACAGTGTTATTATACGAGTCTTTCATAAAAATAGTGCCAAGTAAACACACATGATACTTGTTCTCAAGTGTAGGAGGTTTACTTCCTGGAGGGATGTCTTTACTATTTACACAAATGCTCTATTGTAAGTCTATAACGAATAATAAAATCAATACTTTATCTTGACTCCAAAGTATGACATTGACCTATAGACAACAAAAGCTGGTATAAGATTGTGTTTTTAAAGGTTCATTGTGCCCCTATTATCGAAAAAAGTACCAAAATGGATCTTAACTGCAGTTCATCCTTAAATAGGAACTATTCCTATTAATAAATAAAATCCTTTATAGAATGACACAAAAAGGCCTGACAATAAAGTCAACAATGGAGTGTACATAAAGGTTTAAATATAAGGAGAACAGTTTTGACTTCATCAGAATATTAGAACAAAAATATGTAAAACAGAACACAGCACCACCAGACACCAGGAAGTAAAGTTTAACATTCTATATTTACCACTTCAATCTCCTGTGAGCAATAAAACATTATATCTATACATTAGCATTATCACTATACTCAAAACATTCACCATATATAAAGACAGTACAAGACAAGACCAAGAAGTATTTTGTACCATGAAATAAGTTGATAGTACTGTAGTAATATAAAGTATTTCAACAAGTTATGAAGACAAATCCCAATTACAGCAACAAGCACAAATATTTTCTTTTAAATAAGATACAAAAGTTTTGTTTTTACAGCTATAAATAGAAATTGAATTGACAGACTAAACAAACTAGAACTGCCACTGTCATGGCGTGAATACCCCCGCATACCACTTTGTCAGAAGCTTTTTTTAAGTCAAGGCCCCTGTGACCTTGAACTTTGACCCAGTGACCTCAAAATCAATAGGGGTCATCTACTAATCATGACTAACCTCCATGCCAAATATGAAGACTGTGGGTCAAAGGAATCTCAAGTTATTGGGCGGACAAGCTTTTTTTAGTCAAGGCCCCTGTGACCTTGACCTTTGACCCAGTGACCTCAAAATCAAAAGGGGTCATCTACTAATCATGACTTACCTCCATGCCAAATATGAAGACTGTGGGCCAAAGGAATCTCAAGTAATTTGGCGGACAAGGAAAAACCGACGGACGGACGGGGAGACGTCTGGACGGACAAGCTGATTCCAGTATACCCCCCTTACAACTTCGTTGTGGGGGGTATAAAAATTATCTCAAATACATATAAGCACACGATTATTTGCAGCCTCGTGTTGAAAGCTATGATAAACTGACACGATGTTACATTTTATGGTAAATGCATTATTGGACATGTTACTGATCAATATTTCTTACTTCAATCATATTTATACATATAAAACAGTGTGTTAAATTAACTTTAAAATCAATTTTTTATCTCCTGTACAGCTATATCTGATTTAAGGAGCTTTTCCTGAGCTACAAATCCTTATCCCTAACCGCAACTGTTTAATATTTAAACTGGCACTGTTATTTGTACAAAAATATTTCAGAAATGAAGAGAAACCCACATAGATTTTATTTCATTATTGTCTTTTTCCTGAATAACATATACAAAGACCACAACAATTTTCAATTTCTTTGACTTTACAGTACTACACTGATTATTCTAAAATTTCCAAATGATCTGAACCACAATACAATTTTCTCAAACTCTAACTGTATCAGTGGTATTCTCAAAATTGCAAACATAAATATGATATCATAACTCCTGAACCTGCTAAATTTCTTAAATTGACTTTTTAAATTTCAAATCTTGAACCTGTCTATTATCACCCCACCTGCTGGAGCTAAGGGATGCACAGACTTCAGTAATTCAAACCCATTTGGTCACCTCTAAGTTCACACAGGGTTAAAAGGTGACAGCAATTCTGATGCCTCAACCCCTAAAGGCAACATCTCAGCCGCAAGAGAGCATGTTCATGTAGGCTGGCCCAACTCTATACTTGGGACAAATACAAATTACTTTCAGTTCTAGCAGGAGAAAGGTTAAACATAATGTAGTATTTTACCTGGTATACTGGTTCCTGGTCCTCTTTGGCTTCTGTAGCTGTTTCATCAGCTGGTTCCTCTATCTTATGTTTGGCATCCTCCACCTCTTTTTTCTTCAATTCATACACAACTTGGAATAAATCTCTCAAGGTCAGTACCAGTGCTTCTGCCTACAATGTTGAATTATTTGTTTAAATACATGTATATATTCTTGTAACCCATTTTCTATAGATTTTAAGTTGTTGCTTTATTCAGTACTTGAATCAAGACATAGATTCCTTCTCTACTTACTTCAATTAATTCTGACAAAAAAACAACTATAGTAGAAAACTATACGTAATAAATGTCTACAAATATTACTTTTTATATCTATAACAGTAGCATTTATAGTTTTATTACTTTGCTTGCTGGAATTTAGGCGACAACAACAGAACTAAGGTCACATGGCAACTTACTAAGTGAAGAAGACCTCACATACCTTATTGTACTATATTTTAAACACAAGCAGGTACTTGTGTACAACAACTAACCTTCTGTAAGCTAGCTAAATAGTTTCCTCACAGTAAAGAATCCCAAGTCCCTTTCAGGATTTCAACCCACTGAGATGAGTGGCAAGTGATAAGAATTCTGCAACCTTAACACATTCCGTCCAAGAGACCCTTTGATTATTCATTATTTCAACATGTTTTAAATGTTTTGTCACTTAATAGCTGCTACATTAAATCAAACATTCTCAATTCTTTTACTTTTTTTAGTAATTGTTTATATGTAAATTGGACATAAAGAAATGATTGGAAATAATCCTTCAAATCAAAATACAAACCGCTTTCTCTGTTTTTATAGCGAAGAACTTGTGTTTTCCCTCTCCTGCACCATACACATATCCAAATGCTCGTGCATCTGTTATATCACGTGATATGAATGAGATCCTGTGGACTGGATGAGTGTGGTTTGTTGCCTAAAATATTTCAATTTTTAACATCAAATTTGAACAATACATACATTGTAAAGGAAGTGATAATCGAACTTTCCACCATAAAGAACAGGTAGGAGATCCCAAGTGCCTTTCCTTAAACTTTATTTCTCAGGCAAAACCATCACATCGATGGAACCTCATATGTTACAAGTTCTTCAAGGTGGCTGAAAAAGCTTCCTCTTATGAGAGAACTAAGGCCTTGAACAAAAAGTACCACAGTGTAGTGTTTTAACCGCTATGGAAACCAATTAATTAACAAGATATCCAAGAGGGCATATTGTTTATAGATTCACTGAGCAAATGGAAATATTGAAGAAAAAAAATTTGGACATAATTTATACAAACTTCATAAATCAAAGCACAGAAGGTGCTGAATTTGTTTGGGTCTCAGAATGTCAGAAAGGTGAAGGTTGTGAGATTATAAAACAATTTGTTTTTGTATAGTGCCACCAATGCTTTCCAGCGTTTTAATTGTAGTAGATTGGCTATAAGACTAATTCGATCAAATGTTTATTTGACTTAAACAATTTGAAAAAAAAAAGAGTAGCCGTAATTGGGATTTGAACTCCAGACCTCTCGCTTCCTAAGCGAGGGCGCAAACCCCTCGGCCACGGTGAATTTATATGTTAACGGCCTGAAAAAAAACATATTATTCTATTTAGGGTTTGTAACGACGCTAACTGTTGTTTAACACTTGTGTAAATAATCATGGCGCTTACTATAAGCATGTATATTTATAAAGAATAAAACAATATTAGAAATCTTCGACCATTTGGGAATTATTTTGCTTGAAAATTAATCCGCCTGTCATGTGACCATATTTACGCAGTGATCTCCCCTAAATTTTTCGGCCTAAGTGTTACATATAAAGGGAAGTAACCCCTTCAAAAAAGTTGACTACTTTCGGCACCTGCAATTAACAGCATTAGAGTCTGAAATTTCGCTACCATTATTTGTTTGGTCTAACAACCCAAACAAATAAAAACCATAACTATATTATACAAGAAACCACAGTAATGCAACATAAATTTTGTCTTTAATGAGTTTTAAAATATTTTATTTTTGAGATTAATTTTGGTTAAATGAAACTTAAGACTACAATGAAAGAACAAGAGCCATGTCAACATGGCCATCCCCCGCCGAATGTGTTTGCTCATTGGAAGAATATATATGTAGTAGAGCAGAATATTTCCATTTTAAGAGGTCTTTTGGTAATGAAAACTGATGGCTATAGTGATTACAGATTTGCAACCTATGTGAATACTGATGGCTGAAAATAACAAAGGGCAATAACTGAAAAATAATGCAGGGTAGGTTATCATTCTTGTGTGCTGCATCCCTCCTCAGTAAAATCTATCCACCTATGAAGTTTCAAGTTGATACCTCAAATACTTTTTGAGAAAAAAATTGAATTGAAAAATTAAGTATGAAAAATAACAAAGGGCAATAACTCAAAAATTATAAAAGGTAGAGTTATCATTCTTGTGCACTGCACACCTCCTGAGTTAGATCTATGCACCTATAAAGTTTCATAATGATATCTCAAAGGCCTTTTGAGTTATGCTCTGGACAAAAATTAATTTTGAAAAATAAAAAAAGGGCAATAACTAAACAATTATGCAGGGTAGAGTTATCGTTCTTGTGCACTGCACTCTTCCTCAATGAGATCCATCCATATGAAGTTTCAAGTTGATACCTCAAATACTTTTTGAGATAAGCTCCGGACAAATAGTATGAAAAAGAACAAAGGGCAATTACTAAAAAATTGTACAGGGAAGAGTTATCATTCTTTTGCACAGCATTCCTTCTCAATAAAATCTATCCACCTATGACATTTCATGTTGACATCTCAAACATTTTTGAGTTATGCTCCACTCGGGTGAAAAATTATTTATGAAAAATAACAAAGGACAATAACTCAAAAATTATAAAAGGTAGTGTTATCATTCTTGTGCAGTGCACACCTACTGAGTGAGATCTATGCACCTATGAAGTTTCATTTTGATATCTCAAAGGCTTTTTGAGTTATGCTCTGGACAAAAATTAATTTTGAAAAATAACAAAGGGCAATAACTCAAAAATAATGCAGGGTAGAGTTATTATTCTTAAGCACTGCACTCCTCCTCAATGAGATCCATCAACCTTTGAAGTTTCAAGTTGATACCTCCAATACTTTTTGAGATAAGCTCTGGACAAAATAGCATGAAAAAGAACAAAGGGCAATAACTCAAAAATTGTAAAGGGAAGAGTTATCATTCTTGCGCACAACATTCCTCCTCAATAAGATCTATCCACCTATGACATTTCATGTTGATATCTCAAATATTTTTTGAGTTATGCTCCACTCAGGTGAAAAATTAAATATGAAAAATAACAAAGGGCAATAACTCAAAAATTATGAAAGGTAGAGTTATCATTCTTGTGCACTGCACACATCATGAGTGAGATCTATGCACCTATGAAGTTTCATGTTGATATCTCATAGGCTTTTGGAGTTATGCTCTGGACAAAAATCAATTTTGAAAAATAACAAAGGGCAATAACTCAAAAATCATGCAAGGTAGAGTTATCATTCTTGTGCACTGCACTCCTCCTCAATGAGGTCTATCCACCTATGAAGTTTCAAGTTGATAACTCAAATACTTTTAGAGATATGCTCCGGACAAAAATGTCGGACGGAAGGACGGACATACCAAAATTTGATATTTATGAGGCAAATCAGCTCATAAACACCACCTGGACCAACGTCCATAAGCAAAATAAGCTCATAAAAACAAAAAAATAGCTCTTAATTTGAATTTTATGAGTTTTTGTTCTTTATTTAACTATGGAATGAAGCTCATAATAATCAAATGTTGGCTCGGACGGACGGAAGGTCGGACGGACGGAGACTATTTCTATATCCCCCGCCGCCTTTTCGGCGGGGGATAATTAGCTATCTGTAAAGACTCAGAATGATAAAACTGACACAATTACTGATATGAAAGAGAGCATAAAAAATATTTTGATTCAATTTTTAGACAAGTATTTCCATATAAATCAAAATATCTTACATGAGTTCTGACATCAATAATTCTGATCCCATCTAATGAAACATTGACTATTATTTTTTGTTTGTGCTGTCCTGACTGTTTGACAGCAACTTTTAGGCGGTACATTGCTTCTTGGCACATCTTATCTCCTCTGGCACTGGTTACTTCATCTATACCTATTAACTTGGCATTGAAATTAACACCTGGAGGGTCAAATCTACTTGGATCATTCTTAAGGTCTGAAACAAGAGATATACATGTATGTATTTTGTTTAAATTTAAGAAAATTCAATATTGTGATTGACAGCAAGAAAATATATTTTTCATAATTTCATTAGTGTCCACAGTCACACAAATGACATCCAAATTTTATGCTAATACGGTCAATATCATTTGCTCTATATTATTTAGTATAGAATTGGACTCAGCTATTTACATGTAAATGACTCCACGAAATAGAATACCTAAGAGTAAAAGAAGCAACATTGGAATGGACACAGAGTGTTTTTAAGATTTTCTTTTGATTTGGCCTAGGTACTTCTTTATTTCTAGCAATGTCTTTTTTATAAGAGAAATTACAAGACTGAAATGGACACTGAGTGTTTATCAGATTTCTTTTGATTTGGCCTAGGTATTTATTTATTTGAATTCAATGTCTTTTTATAAGAGAAATTACAAGACTTGAATGTGTCCTAGTATTTCACTATAAATTTTCTAGATACTATTTATGAAAGTACTCAGGCTTCAGTTTATATCTGACCTAGTTATCTAGTGTACATGGAGGGTGATCAAATATAAAAGATATTAAGAAGACATTTTTATCATGTTTAATGACAAATGACACTTGGCAAATTGTTTCTACAAGATCATAATCATGCTGAAATACATAAAGCTAAACTGAATAAATTAACAGTTCCATTTACATGTACCTTTTTTGCTTTTAACTTTTTTGATTGGTTTGTTGTCAGCTGCATCTTTGGTTGTGTCTGTTTTTTTAGTATTTTCTTCAGCTGGTTTATTTTCTGTGGTTGTGTCTGTGGGAGTTTCTTCTGTTGGTGCAGACATACTGTTTGTATTTATATTACTATTGCTAGTATATGAATATGGGTCTGAAATGATAAAACAACTATAAAATAAATATCAGAAGGTTAAATCTCTCTGCACTGTTCACAGGAATAAATGTTATACATATTGCTTGCTGATAAGTGCTTTCTATCTTTTACACCATTTAATACAGAGCAATGAATTTATACAATGACAATTGCTGAAAGATCATAAAGTTTTTAAAATATTATTCTGATGTTTTTACATCATTCTTAAGTGATCCTTAATAATCAAGTTTGATTTATTTACAGCTATAGAAGCCCCTATTAGCTGCAGCTTCCCATAAAATGATCATGGCAATTTTGGCAGGTCCTTTCCCTGGTTCAAATAAAGTTTTTTTCCATTTTTAGAAAATTTCAGTTTTACTGTTTTAGTATAAATCTGATGTTGCTTTAAGATATTTTACTTCTTGGCAAAGCAACCATCATAAACTATAACAAGGTAAGGTCAAAATGCATACATGTAGTTTGACTAACCAAAGAGGTAGTGTTGAAATTAATTAAAAATAGCTTTTAAAGCAGCATTAAAAAGTTGGCAGCAGATCTGTAAATAAAGAAGTTGTATCCCCGATACATATATTCAAATATAATCAATTATGCATAAACATACCAATTATTTAATCTTTATTCACGAAATTACTTTCACTTTAGGGGGCGTAACTTTTGTCAGGGGATCCACTTCCGGTGTAAATTAATCAAAATCTCTCCAAAATGTAACCTATGAATATGAAATTCAGTTTCATTTCAACGTTCAATTCATGTTTCTACAACGAGACTTTGCTTTAAATTGTAATTGAATTAGTAAAAAAGAATATTTATTGTGAGAAAACGACCGTGTTTACCTGCACCATGCCTCCAACATCAGACACCTCCTCCCAAAATAACTTTGTCATAATTATATTTTATTTTGTACATAAATTTGATACAATTTTAATTCGACATACTTACTCATTTAACAAAAACACGCAAATTCCTAAAACATTGTCTAAATATGAAGGTGAAGTATCAATTTGACTTGTTAAAAACTTCACCAACTTTGACACTTCTCCAAAATGTACCCCTATGTCCGTTTACCTCTTCCTCTGCGTTTGAACATGATTATTGCGAAATGCGGGGAACCAATGCATGGAGTCTCCTGATTGGCTGTTTCTTGTTTGTTTAATTTACGACACACGTAATTGGTTTAACGCCACTAAATTTTGTTAAGCAAATGTACTGTACATGTACCACACTAAGCAAAATTTCATCTGTCATGGTTTTCGACAAATAATACCTCTTTGTTTAATACAATTCTGTGCATGCCATTCTGATCAGTATTGTATACTATATAACATACGATAGCTGCCTAATGTAAACCATTCAAATAAAAAGTCAATGGGACTGTTTATAAATTTGGTGATCATTATCAATTTCCTGATGCTTTTTTGGAATTGATTGTAATTTGCTATTTCATCTAATGTTGAGTGCATAGATACATGTATTATTGAACAATTGGTGAGTTTTCAGTTTTGTGTTGTCCAAATAAAAATGGATGAACATTCCTATTCAATTGAAGGGCCCATTCTTTCATCTGAAATTTTCAAGCAACTACTCTTCCCTATTAATTGAGACACTTTTTCCAGTAATTTTAAAACAAGTGAGGAAGTTGAAACGATTTAAGGACCCATCCATCACAAAATATTTTGCGGATTATATCTATCTATTCGTTCACCAAAGTTCATTTTCTTTTTAAATAGCAAAAAATAAGTCCATAATTAATAGTATTTTTTTATTTTTACAGTATTATCACATCATGTTCAGCTGACTGGAATGATTTGACCACTTCAAAGCCTTTCGCATAGTTTCATCAAATTCAAGCAAGCTGTTGAAATGCCATTTAAAGCTTTATTAACTCTCAACAATCTTACTCAGCAGACAAAATAATCAGTCCTGTAAGCTTTCATCAAAATCTGCATCATGATTTGAGGAGGGATATCTATTTAACAGTTATCAAAAGGAACCAACCTAATTATCAAGGTTCTTGTAGTTTTTTATAATATTCTACTCTTTGATTGTTAAAAAAATGTTGCTTAAAGATTTTTCCTATTTTTAGCTCCAACAGCCACATTGTTCATTTGAAGGATTATTCCTGTACAGTTTCATCACTACTGGGTGAAGTAAAAATGTTAGCAATGGACAATGAATTTGTTGTGTAATATAATATGCTCTCTAGACTCAGTGCAGACTTGTCTCTTTCAGTGGTTAGTCTTTAAAATATTTAAGGTTGGTATGGTGATTACTGACCATCCATTCAGACAATAGTACAAAATGAACGCCAGAATGATCACAACAGCTCACCTTGAGCCAATTGTGCTCAGGTCATTGAGCCAATGGTGCTCAGGTCAGATCATCAAAAATTAAGCCATGTGGTACAAAGAAATGTTATAATTAATATTCAACAAGATTTACTTTCTTTGCTAAGTGTTTATTCACACAAATCGTTTAATATAGACGACAACAAAGATGTATCAGGATTACAAACTATTCATATAATTCTTATATTACCCTAAATACACATGCAACCAGTTTTTGTAAAATCTCTTACAGAGATAAATAACACTCTAGTACAATGTAAAATATAATAATCATTAGGATAAGTACATACAAACAAATGCATAGAGTGATGACAACATCAGCTTATATATGATATTGATAAAGGCAATCAAAGTGGTAACTTTCAAATCAATTACAGGGAATGAAAATACAGACTATAATAGTTTTATTTTACACTGCAATATATATATATTTGTTTCACAATAAAAGAAGGTAAAAAAACCAACCTGTATCACACATTTTATTTTATGAAATTAAAAGTCTTAGTAATGCAATGCCCAATAACTGTAAAAATTATTAGTAATTTGTGATCACTTATTCCTAAACAAAACCCATTCACACATTTTAACAGAACATATATTTCAACTTCTATTTTGGTATATAGCAAGTATCAAATTTCCATTGAATGTCCGGCACCCAATGCTACACTGTTTGACTACATGTATTAGAAATAATCATGTGATATTGTTATAACCATGATACGTCAACATTATTGAGATCAAAATGAACTACTGTAGGGCAGAATATTCTTAATACAAACCCAAAGTTAACTAAAAGAAAGTAACAAGTATACCATAAAGTCCTTTACAGATTCATTAAAAATAATATCAGATCAGTAATAAAGTAATAATTATACATAAAAAGTATTTGAGCGTTGTCATAACAAAACCAACATAATGGGTTTGCGACCAGCATGGATCAAGACCAGCCATGCTGTTCGCTTACAAACCCTATTACAAGTAGAGAAACTGATAGCAAACAGCATGGATCCTGATCAGACTGCGCGGATGCGCAGGCTGGTCTGGATCCATGCTGGTTGCAAACGCATAACATTGGTTTTGTCGTGACGCGGCTCATTTTTTCCCAATCATTCTCTAATGAGATTTCTGGACAAATCAGTGCTAGCTTGTTTCTATTGTAACCTTGGTCACACACAGATCTACCATTTATTGAAGTAACCTTTTACCTCTTTAACATTGTATGACAGATTGCTTTTAAATATAATATAAATGTGATAATCATTTGTGGAGAACAAAATGAGAATGAGATTTTTTGTCAGATAAATAGACAAAAATGTTCAAATTTTATATGTTTGAGATTGAAAATTAAAATTCACTATTTAGTAATGTCAGATTTACTTGGAATGACAAATTAGCATTCGATTATTTTCATAATTTCACACTATAACAGTATTAAGCGGTATGGTGTATGTTCATAATAGGCAGGAGAAAATAAAATGACACACCAAATTTTGATAAGCTTTAAGCAAATAAAAACGTCTTTCCTTCCTGATAATATAGTTTAAGTTTTCTGAGACACTTGAACGTTACTAGCATCATCTACAAATGGAGATTCATATGTAGACATAGGGGGGCATGTACACACTAAATTCTGGTCACCATAAATGTCATCAATACGCCCAACAGTTGGCCAGAACTTTGTAGATGGTGTCACAAATTCCTAGAAACAAAACAGAGAAAAAATGTAATGAAATCTAGCATTGCTAAACTTAATGATTCAAATTATTCAAGTTATACATGTAATAATTCATGATACTGAAAACAACAACAACAATTAATTATAACACAAACTCTTTAATATATAAAGTACAACTACCACTATACAATCTTTCTGATACTGTTAATAGTCTCAAGAATCTGCATACTAGCAAAACTAGCGTTTTTATTTCCTTTAAAATGAGTTAAAAAAATCATGTGTTTTTTTTAATCTAAGAAAAGTAATGGTATTTATTAATATAATTTCCTTTTAACTACATACAACACAATAACTAATTAATTCATGAACACCCAAGCAACTCTCTTCACTTATCATATTAAAAGAAGATTAACATCATTGGATTAAATATATATAAACTTACAGCCGGGTAAACTGCTGTTTTACGGTCATATGGTCTGTCCCAGTTTTCAGCAATAACATCCTCCTGACAATGTGGGGCCATCTGAAATTTATATAGTAATACCTTTTGTCTTGAAATTGCCGACAAGAAACATTCCATGCATCTTCCTATCCACTTCAAAATTTGAGTGTTGATAGAACTAAACAAAAGATTTCTATTATCATATTTTAGCAAAAGAAGGTTGGATGGCCCTAGCAACACTACAAACTTGATTTACTCACAAATTGATCTCATAACAATTATCTCATGCATGATACAAGATAATACATGCCCTTAGAAACTCGACACACAATTTAAATGCATACAGAATATGAATATTGTAATTAAATCACTTCAAAATATAAAAAATATTAAGCAAAATATTATAGAATTTTGAAATATGTAAATAACAAAGCAGCATGTTTCAGAAATAGTGGTAAACAAACCTTGAGAGGGTTTATTTTTCTGTCCATTTTCCCTTCCTCTATATCTTGTATTTCATGTCTGATTGCTGTGAAAATATTATGTTAAAAGATAATTTATGTTTCACAAACTACTACCACAATCATTTTTTTATGTCATAAGTCTGTTATAATAATGTTCTACAAACTTAACAATCCAATGCTACAGTATCTTTTTTTTCTATAAAATTTCTGTTTATGTAAGTTTCTGTAAGTTGATACTCCCCCCCCCCCCTCCCCCCCAAAAAAATGAAGTACAAATTTTGAATCCACTTGGTCTCTTTTTCTGAAGATCAATTCTGATCAGCCTTATTTGGCAGAATTAAATAGAAATTTGAAGACATGTTGAAGAACAACTCAAGATGCATACAGACTTTTAAGGAATAGGCTAAATATTGAGACTGAAATTGACCAAGAGAAATATATCACCTATGAGAGCATCACAGAATCTGTCAAGTTCTTCCTTATCTTCTGATTCAGTTGTGGTTCAACCATCAAAGTTCCTACTACTGGCCATGATGTTGTGGGTGCATGGAAACCTACAATATTTCTTTCCTCAGTAAACATAAGAATGTCATACAATTTATCCAAGAAATAATATTTTTAAAATAATTTTCAGCCAGTATTCTTTTACTATTTTTT